GAGTATCTTCACACCAATAAAATGATTTCATAAGCTATATTTTAATAATCCCATTCTTGAAATACAATTAGCTACTCAGAGTTTTAGAGCCCAGATAAACACTTTTAGTTTATTTTTACTTTACTTTACACAGTAAAACTAAAGATGTGATCAAGGGGACAAAAATTTGACCTGTAGACTAAGCATTTTATTGTGAAATTTCCTAGTAAATATTGACTGGACTTAATTCATTTGGGCAGAGGATGACTTTAATCATGTCTAACTTTCTTAGCAAATATTGACTTGACTTTAACCCATTTAGGTAGATGATAATTTTAATCATGTCTATCATGACCTTTTAGCTGCTTTTTTCTTTCTTAAAACTGCCAAGTTTAGACTAGCTCTGCTACTTTCTTTTCCCCTTCCTTTCTCTGACTTCTTTGGAACTTGTATTGAGAACTAATTACTGATATAGCAAAGTCAACAATAGCAGCAAGATTTCAGAAAACAATGGCCATGCCTACCTGGGATTGGTGAAGGTGATGAGGACCCTATGTCCTGTCCTCCTGAGACATTTTTACAAGAACATATGGAGGTTTATTGGCATACCAGCTCCACAAACCTCTCAGGATTCTAGAAAGGGAATTCTGAGGGAAGGAAACGAATCATCCCACACACATCTTCTTTTTATCATGTCTCTTTATTCTTCAAAAATCTCCCCTACCCCACAAGGCTTCCAATTTATATACCCATGTGGACACAATTAACAATTCTCTGGCAATAGCAAAGTTACAGGCAAGCATTTCTCAGGGTCATTACAGCAGATAAGGGCTAACACAGAGCAGTAACAAGCCAGCTTCATTTATGGCTCAGTGGGGGCATGACTCAGGAGATGTGAGATGCCCAGCATTTCTTCAGAAGTGAAAAGGGTCAATAGAGCAAGAGGCTGTGATCTCTAAGAGGGGAGAAGAGGAGTTTGTGTGTTAAACTACATTTGTGTGGCTGGTTAAGCTAGAAGTTTGTAACTGTGCAAGTTAGTGCCCACATCACATGGTGAATAAAGAAAGAATTCAAGAGCCACTGGATCTTTTGTGAATAAATTACAAATGTGCCTTACCTCTTCCAGGATTTTGTTATACCTAAGTTAGAAAACCAATTGCAGGCACTACAGAAAATAAGACTAGAAAAGATGACAGGCAAAAGGGAAGGAGGGAGGGAGGGATGGGGAGAGAGAGAGAGAGAGAGAGAGAGAGAGAGAGAGAGAGAGAGAGAGAGAGAGAATTTGGACTCACAAAATGTCCATTTCTACTGCACTGGAGTTCAGTTAACCAAAACAATGCATTCTTGTATAACTAATTTTAGTTCTAGTTCTCCGAACAGGAACAGTAGACTCTTTCATATGCAATGTTCCCATAGTGAAAAGACAATAAGCACCCCCCCCCTTCATTCAGCCTCTTGTGGCTTGAGGAGTCCTTGTGATGCAGACAGCAGGTTGTAGGAGACAGAGTGTTTGTTATTCAAGTTGGGAGGGGGGATAGAATTCTTTAAAGGGCAACAGAGGAGCCAGCCCCGCAACCATATAGCTATTTTTCATCTTCCGCAGCAACACTGCTCCATCTTCTGGTTCATTCTCCCGGATTGCAGAGGCAAAGAAAACCACACAGTCAGAGTCACTGCTCAGTGCTGTGACCAAAGGATCAAGGGGATATGGACATTCAAATAGAAGACTAATTTCATAATTGTTTGCATTCCAAGTTGCAGGGTCTATGCTTTTCAATTCAATCATTTCCACTTAAAACCACTCTAAAAGCGGGCTTTTCACATCTTTATTTGTGTCAAAATTAAGTCTGAAGAAGTTTAATATATTCTTTTAACAGAATCATGGAGAATAAAAATCTGTAGCCAATAGTTAAACACTGTCTTGAATTTTAGGCACATTCTGAATACTTAAGTCAATTATCATATCCATCCTTTAAACAAATGCAGGAATGAAAATTCAACTTGTGAAATAAGTAGTTAAGAGTTTATCACTGAGCAACTATGCTTTCCCTCTGCAGAGCTGGGTTGGCCCCTTTTCAGAGTTTTCCAGAAAGTTTGTTTCCTTCAAGGCTTTTCTTCTGGATACAGATTTTAAATGTTTTAGCTGATGCTTGTTTGTATTTGAAAACAGTTTAAGTCATGGAGTTTGAGGCCATAGTAAAGATCACCAGGAAGAAACCAATAGTATCAGTTTTCTTCTTTAGCATCAAGGCTGAAGAAGAAAGGCCCCCAGGAAGGCCAGGCACAGCTGTGTGTGTTTCATGTCAGAGCTGGGAGACTATATGGCAGTTTCACAACTAACTGTTCATCTTTGTAGATGACAATTCCCTACTCAGGAGCAAGAATATCTACTTTTGCAACTCAAGTGGAAAAGACTTCTGACTTAATTGCCTGTCTGCTTAGAATTCTTACTCTTTTGGGTAAGTTCACTCACTCCCAGTGCTGTCTGTATTCACAAGGGGCAAACAGAGTATCAACTTGTAAACTTGGTAGGAGATAAAGCTGCCAAGTACACCATAAAGCAATTTTATGTATTTTAAGAAAGTTGAAATGAACACGAAAGCTTTTGAGAACACACACGTTTGTAATCTGACTTCATGTTTTCTGAAGTGTCCACTGCTTGATGAAAACAACAAAACTATTTGCAGTTACACAAAGGAGAGAAGATGTTATTCATTTTTGCAAAGACACAGTTAAGCAACTGTCTTACACAGACACAACATGCACTTCTCTCTAGAATGCAAAACTGTAAGAGTAAATTAAATACACTTTTCCACCATAAGGCTTAATGTAACCTGAAAAGTGAAGTAATGGATGACAGCTCCTGTTCTCCCCAGACCACTTCCCTGGTGGGCTGACTTAAGCCTCAGTCTAGAACACTTATGGTCACAGGCCCAGACGACGAACACTTTCCAGTTTACACTGAGCTTCAACTGGACCAAGCCATCCTGCAAATAAACATCCTTCAACAAGATTATACATTTTAATAGGGGCCTGTGGAATGACTACACTATTTAAAATATTTCTGTAAAATGTACTGAATTTTAAACAACTTAGTTACAGTCTGGTTTTGTAGAGGTAATTATCTTAGAAACCCTGGTAGTGGATTTGCCAGTCTACCCTTGGTACAAAACACTAGTTTTGATTTGGATATTTTGTTCAACAAATGTTTTATTAATAACTTACACAGAACATTTAATTGCGCATTTCCATATTAATTTGGAGACTTTTTGAAGAGCTGGATTCCATGCAATTGCTAATGCTTCCATTTGCTTTGAATACTTTTATATATGGCAAATATGTTTTTTTAAGTATTATTTGAGTTATCTTTCTTGTATACATTAAGTTCAGCTTTCTGGAAATTTGTTGAATGAAGAATGGTGTGTAGGTAAGTACTCAAAGTGAAAATGAAGTAAATATTTAAGACCTGACGGTAAATGAATTCTTTACTATTTATTATTAAGCAAAATCCGTGCACAGATACTAAAGAATAAGTGAGGAACCTGAACGGAGACACAAGCCACTGCTTATACCTGCCACCACTCATTTCCTCGACTGAAAGGGCCACCTCTCCCTAGGTCACATCCACCCCAGTGAAAACCCTGCTTCTCCAAACAAAATACTCCTCTCAATGACTAGCGGTTCAGTGACAGAATTCCCGACTGGCAACTGCCTGTATAATAGCAGGCTGAGTTCTTAAAACCAACATCACTCCCAATGCTTGGCAATACGTTCTATTAAAACAGTCTTGAGACCATTAAGTATGTTGCAATCTCTTTAGTTCTAAACAAATAATGGCTAACAAAGTGGTGAGAATGACAATGCAAGCAAATGATTGTAAAACAGACACATTTGATTTTTCAATTCATAAGCCATTTATGTGAAGCTATAGGTGTGCTGGCTTCTTTTATGCTACTGGTGCTAGTCTTATAATGTATAGGGATATGTTTATGCTTACAAGTAACCTTTTCATGTCCTACTACACATAGAGTTCCTCCTCCTCCTCTTCCTCCACTTCCTCCTCCTCCTCCTCCTCCTTCTTCTTCTTTTTGGTTTTTTTAGAGACAGGGTTTCTCTGTGTAGCTTTGGAACCTATCCTGGCACTTGCTCTGGAGACCAGGCTGGCTTGGAACTCACAGAGATCCATCTGCCTCTGCCTCACGAGTGCTGGGATTAAAGGCGTGCACCACCAATGCCCGGCGAGTTCCTTCTGTCTACCCTTCAGCCTCTAGACATGCAGAAATCGCACAAACAAAAAGGCAAACAACAACAAAAATCACCTGACAAGCCACATGAGGTAATCCTTGACTTATCCTGTCTGGTCATTAGGATTTATAATACTTCCTATCTATTATGTACAAATTGTCACACCACCAAACTGAAATATTCCATTTGGGTCAAAGCTATAATATATGACATAAAACCAGTATTTAGCACATCACTGAGGGGTGGAGTTGAATTATGTATTTCCATTTCTTTCCAGGGATGAATTCTCAATACAATTAGGAGAGGTTTACTTCCTTCTCATTCATGTTTAGGGTAGTATAGGGATGCTACTTTAAAACCTTTTAGGCTGATGTTTATGGTGAACTGAAGTGACCACCTTCATAGTTCATCATAAAGATGAAAGAACTGTGTGAATTATCTGAACAAATGCCTCATTGTGTGTAGTTTTACTTGAAAAAAATACTAAAACCGCATTAACAGCTGTAAGTTTTCTAATATTATTTGGGGCAACGCTGTTACATGACCACAGAGAATCAGCCACACAACCTTTTCTTAAGTGCATAGAAACCCTTTGCCTCTACACAGTCCTGAATTTTATCTAGTGTACAATGTCCAATTCACTTCTCTGCACAGATGTGCACATTACAGTTTGACTTTTCTCAGGAACATTTGTGCTGTCTCCATACAAACAATTTCCTTTCCTTTCCAATAAGTATTGAAGTAAAGGATAGAAATAAAAGGGAAGAAACCATAAATCAAAAGCAGTATTTTTATAAATTAAATGTGACGACGTGTCAAATTAAGGGACATTTATGTACATCTTTATGGTGACTTTTTCCATTACACGAACAGCTCAAATACTTTTACAAAAACATTAAGCGATAAATTCACTTGAGAATAATTGTAACAATGTGTATGTGCACACACATATACACACAGGTGCTAAGTTTACAAATGTGTCAGTTCTCTGGTGGCTATTACTGATTTAAGAATAGTAATTACTGAGTCACCCCAGATTTCAATTATATTTATACATAAATTGTACATTTATAAAAACCTTACAAATAATTCTATTTTTTCAGGAAGACATTGTAGGTAACAATTTAACACATGTAGTAAGGAAACATTTTAAATTCTTAAAATCAGAAACAATTTAATAATCTTATGGCTACCACAAATCAAGAATTCTATGCATAAAGATTTCTCCATCTTTGTTTGTCACAATAACGTGTCCTTCAAATTATCTGTCCTAACAGAGTTTACACATTGTCATAATGCAAGGAAAGTAAACATTTTTGAAATCTTCTCTGATCTAAATCCACATAAATTTTAATTAGTACTTTGTTGGGAAAATCTCTATTGCAAAAATTTAGAATTCTACTCAAATCATGTAAGATGGACAGATTATCTGAGTTGTTGTTTTCAAACAAATAAATGATTCATTACATTTTACTGACAATTTTATGAAGGCATGTTAGAAACTTAGTTTACAGCATATTGTGTACAGTTTGAGAAGCCTGTAAAGGATCCAAATCTTGCCCTGGGGCGATGCACTGAGCTCACTTGCCACAAAGGAGAAAGTGAAAAGCATTAATGAGGAACAAATATTTATATCATTTTCAGTAAATATTAATACTTACCTTGGCCATAGGAACAGCATATCTTGTTTTACAAATGAAATGCTAAGTATTTTAAAAGCCGACGATAAGGTTCCAATGACTGGGATAATGAAAATGAATCAAAGATTTGTCCTAATAACACCCAGTAAATGCTACATGAAAACACCTAGTCCCACATTAAGTGCTGTAACATTTATATATAGTCGTGTATTTCATTTTTAAAACATAGACAGCAAAAATATTCACATTTAAATTTAAATTCTGTACAGAAATTCTTTTGTTTAGGAAAACAAATTATGTGAGGAAATTTCCTTGGGAGATTCACTCAGCCAAATATTCCTCTTCATAATAGAGAAGTGATTAAAGAGATCTCGGGTTTATCAGTAGGTCATTCAAATGGAATTGTGGTCCATGGGCAAAGTTAAAGTTTTGGTGATGTCAATTCAATTTCTCATAAACAAATGTGTATATCAGGAAGCTGTAATTGTTGTACTATTTCTGACAAGATCACTATAAAAATCCAATGGTGAGAAGCTAAGTCTGGGCCTGAGAGACACTTGCTTATATATAGTTCTATATGTAGTATAGTGTTGTGTTACTCTTTCCATCCCAAGTAACTTTTAGCAGATATTTTAGCATTGAAATGAGAAATAGTCAAGAGAAAGAATAGTTTACTATATGTCAATAGTGCTACAAAATAATATGAGTCATAGTCGGAGGATGCTACCATCATCAACATATGGACACAGGTAAAGTGGTATTAATACTGCTTCACTACTCTTGCTTTCCCTGGATTTCTTAAGGCCTATTTCTCAGACTGGGGGAGGCTGCTGCAAACGTTTAAAATTGGAACCATTGTTTTAAGCAAACACTGTTTTAAGCTTGTGCTTCTCAGATCAGAGAAATTTAGTCCACCAGGAAGAAAACACACACACACACACACACACACACACACACACAAAAGACTAATGCACGTTTGGTAAAATATGTGACAATGGTCTCTTCACGTCAGTTTTCCCCATGAGCTGCCTGCCTCGGCTAATGTTTCAAGGAAAGAGAACTACAGCACACAAACAGGATAACATTCAGACGTCCAGTATCTGTGACCTGTAATACTGCTTATGATGAACATTAATAATGAGGCAAAGGAAGTTGAAGTCATTTTCCTGGGGAGAATGACCACCAGTACTAAGTACTGAGTAGACAGGAAAGATGAGAGGTTGAGAGGGAAAGACATTTAACCCTGTATGTCATCTCCATGGAGAAACCAGGCAAGAAGCCAACCGGGCTTCAGAGTAGGGAGAACGGGGCAAAGCTCTGCTTCGGAGGGAACAGTCCTGGGTAGGAAGAGAAGGTGTAGGCAGACTAGCAGCTTACTGAAGTCTGTTTAACTGAATGGCCCTTTCAAATGCAATGGGGTCCAGATACCTTACACAATCATAAACATAGAAATGGAAGAACTTTCTGTAGGGACAGGTGTGTCTGAGAACTCACCATGGCTGAGGGGGGACAGAACTGATGTGTTAGTCTTCTGAAAAATCTTAATCTTGGAGTTTTAGCCATAAAATTCCTGTTCACTAGCAATTGAACCCAAACTGCGGCATTTTCTAAGGATGCTAAATCGCCCATCAAATCTGTGTTAATACGACACATGGACACAGTGGGCATTTTCACTCTATGAGAATCACCTGGGTAAGAACCATCCACATCTTAGTGTGATGTGTGTTTTCAACTGCAGTGAGTTAGGCAGGACAGAGCAGAGTAACAAGAATTAATGCTTATACCTACTATTTATTCTCACGTTTTATACGTGCATGTCATGTTCAATGTAGGCAAACATTGCTGATTTCATTATTATGGGGTGAAATGTGCAAAAATAAGCCACAACAGCCAGCATACATATCAAGACAAGACAAATGTGCTGAGAGTGGTGGAATGTATAAGAAAAGGTTAGACGTTCTTGCCAGAAAAATAATAAGGTTAAATAAGTAAAATCTAAACAAAATCAATATACTGACACTGCTCACCCTTCAGGTAACAAAATTATTTGGCTATAAAATTGATTATTCTTATATTTTCCTGTTTGTGAATGTGGTTTTGTCTTAAAATATTTTTTAAGGTTTTTCAGGAATTTATATATTGGAAATAAGTATTTTTGATTGGGGTTCCAAGAAAGAAAAGAAATGATAAATTGATTGCTACACATTGAAAACAAACACACAAAACAAAAATCAAATCCATTTTACTCCCTCCCTCCTTTTTTGACCAAACAGGTTAAAAGTGACATGTGATGCCATTTATATCATTTATATTCCAGAACTATTCTCAAATAAGGACAAGTAAAATTAGGTTCATAGTTTTTGTTTGTTTGTTGTGATAAGAAACAATGCTTTCCTTCTCCGAGGGCAAATGAAATTATGAACAGTGGTGATGGAGGGAGGAGTCAACAAATGAAATGATGGCCAGTGGTGACCGAGGAAGAGTCAATAAATGAAAGGATGATTAGTGGTGACAGAGGGAAGAGGCAACAAAAGCACTGGAATTCCACCCTCATAAAGCTGAGTTTACTGAAAAGAGTTGATTTTGCACAATTGTCACAGGAAGTGAAAGCTACCACTATTCCTGGCAATTCAGGTGAACTGTATGGAGCCTCATCTTCAGGTTACCTCAGCTGGAGGGTGAAGACTGTGTGAGCTGTTTGTGACAGGTCTCTGGAGCCAGCAGGTACAAGGCAGCTGTCTGGTGCAGTTGTGGGCTCCTATGCTGTGCTATGGACTATGACACATATTGTCATCTAGATTGGTAGTACAAAGCTAATTCATCTGCTTTATCTTCTATGCTTCTCCCAGCATTCCTGGCATGCACAGCCCAAATTTTCAGTTTTCAGAAAGAATGAATCAATAACCTGAAACCAAGAGCTGGCAAACACAGTGTCAACATTTTCACTCATGCTACAACCCCAGAGGAAAGGAGTCGTCTCTCTTCAGACTGGACAGTGCCTTCTCCCAGCAGGGTAGTGGTGGGTGAGCAGTAAGTATTTGTATCAAAAGTAACAGGAAGGGTATCTTAGAGTAACAGATAAACTTTCCTAATTGTTAGGATTTTGGTATTTGGATACAGGATTAAAATTCATTCCAAAGATCTGCAAAGTGTCATGCAGCAAGGTGCTTTGGTAATGGAGACAATTAAGAACTATGTCTTTCCTCCCTTCCAAACTGTCAGACACACAATGGAGATCTAGCCACTGGCAGTCAAGAGAAGTTACACCGATAATCTGCCTCCGAATGCAAGCCCTCTGACGCCAGACCAGAGCAGACAGGGCATGCACTCTGCAGCCAGAGAGCAGGGACACCACAAGGGCAGGTCCAGCAATCAAGCTACTGGGCGAGGGGAAACAAACTCCCCAGAAGCCTCTACCAATGCTTCTTCTTTTCTCTCTGGTGCTGAAAGCCTGAATCATGTCAGTGTGTCTGCATGTCTGTGTGTCTGTCTGTTATCACATCTCTGAGGAAATGTCTACAGGGAATTCAAATAAAAACACAATACTATTTCACATCGTACGTTATGTAAATTTTACCTCCAGATCTCTGTGTGAGAAGTCACGAATTCAAACAAGTGGTTTTGCTATCACTTTGCGGGCTTTGTCATGTTAAAGAGAAAATGTGGTGCTAAAAATGTGACAACCAGTGTCACTTAATTGCTATGGTCTAGGTCATTTGAATTAGCTGCTGACTTCTGTATTGTCTAAGACAAACAAACCAAGAAAGAACTCAACTTAAAGCAGTCACTGCAGAAATAGACCGGGTGAGGCCCTAATCAAACTTCTGCTGATGTGTTTTCCTTAAGTACGAGGTAATAAACTTCTTTGCACAGACCGTAACTGAGGAAATGTCTGCCTGGGCATAAGGATGAAGACACATTCTCTCCACTTAGTGTGTTCTGCGGCTCATGGGTAACTTGCATCAGACACAAGTGAATGAAAGCTCTCAAATAAGCGATTTTATTCCTATCCATGATTGCAGACATTTACAAAACCATAACATCTGAGTTCACCTTAAAAAATAACTTATATAAAGCAGTGATATACACAGCACAAAATAGTTCAGGGAGGGGCTGGAGCAACCTTTAATAATTAAAATGTAAACGTGAAAAAAAGGATGGAATAAAAGTCCCTACTTACTTCTACTTAAGATGTCATGTGATAATATCTTACAATGTCCTGTGGGTCAATGCATGTATGCGTATATGTGCATATGGATCTGCATATACGATACATTCTCGTTCCCACACATATACATACACAGATGATTATTTGCAGTTCATTTTAGGGCAATTCTAATGTGCCACTCCGTACAGTTGTTTGAATCACATTTGGACCCGCTTTCTTCACAAAATAGGGGAGAGAGCAGGAGCTAAAGGGTTGGTTTGGTTGGCTGAGATTCCTTCAACTGTACACTGATGAGCAGTTTTCTTCCGTAGTAGTTCTGTGAAGGGCCGACTCCTGATGGTTTTCATAAGGAGACTTGGTAATGGATCACACACTCATGGTCATGCTTGGGGAGTACTACAAGGACAGAAGAATCCACTGGTTAACAGTGATCTTGCCACAGGGCAGTGTTTTTCAACTCGGTGCAGAAGGATAAATGGTGAATTTTAGTTTCTACGAACACTTATGCACACATCTTTAATCTCAGGAACATGAGGAACTTTGGCAAGAGGCATTTATTTATATGGCTTTTCTTAGTTGTGAAATTTTAAACTATTTCCTCTACCAAGTCTGATTCTTTCCCGGAACCTAGGTAATCATCCAGTCCCTCAGACACTCTGTCCAGCCAGATGAGGACTTTGTAGACACTTGTAGCAATCTGGGCAACTTTAGTCCAAGGATGGATCATGGGGAAGCGAGTCTGAGAACTAGCTTTTGCTATATATAGCCAAGTGAGTGGGGACTTCTCTGTGTTCTGCCTTCAGTCTTCTCTCCTCTCTAACAGCCTTTCTGATAGTACCCAGGAGTTTGGGGAGGATTAAACACAATCCTTAAGCTCCAGAGTTGATTAGACACATACTCAGTACAGGAACAGTGTCAGGGAACACAGCAATTGCTGCTCTGCAGAGTCTCATGGGCATACCTGATGCTCCAGTGTGCATTAGCATAGAGCCCTGCCCCCAATCAATCCTCTGCATGAAACAACAGGGACTCAGCTTTATGGTATGATGAGGCTGACACGTGACAAAGGGTGAGGCTTTGGAAATTTAGAACATTACTTGATTTCAATTTGCTTAAATGTGAATCACAACATGCAGCTAGAGGCCGCCATCATGGATGGACTGCTCTGGATCTTCTGAGTGGAGACAAGCACCTTTGGTGAATGGTAGGGGTCTACATAAAAAAATGGTTTCAAAACTAAGATAAAAATGTAGACCTTGGAATATTTTAATGTTTGATGGAAAACCTGGAAAAACTAATTCAAAGGGCGATTTCTTTCAATATTCTACTAAATGATTGTGTCTCAGGATGAGAGATGGGTAAAGTCCAAAGGATGGACTCTACCAAACGGTTGGTTCCACACTGCAGAATCCAATAAGTAGCAGTAGCTAAAGCAGCTATGTGGGCAGTGGGATCATGCCTTTTAAAAAGTTGGTAGAACAGGGACAAAGTGGAAAGAATCCCAAGCTAGCTTTGGTGAACTGCAGGCATGAGCTGAGGTTCATTCAAACTGAAGTGAGAGGAGGTCCCACGTGAGTGAGCATATGCGTGACAGGGGCTCTGTCCTCTGAACCACAAATCATTAGGGTGTAAATTCCAAAATGCATTGTTCTGAGTAAATGTAGAGAATGAGGTAGAGGAGGAGGCTGATAAAAGAATGGCTCGACCAAGAAGGGAGGGCTGTTAATTCTTTGAACATTGGTCACACCAAGCAGAATCTATATCTATTTGTCACTGAATAGCTTTGAGTTTTGTATTGGTACAAGGAAGGTAAGTTACCTAAATAGTTTAACTGACTCCTATTGGGCAATCAAAAGGAAGGGAAAAAGGAAATGATGTAATTGTCTTACATAATAATATCAAAGACAAAAAAAATTAAAAATCCATTGTAACTCAGAAAAAAAGAAAGCAAGATGAAAATACAAGTCAAAACCAAATCAATGCCCCATTTGCCATCATACACAAGGAATGCTTGGAACCATTGTATGCTGAAATGGAAACACACCCAATTCCATGGCAATGTGACATTATAAAGTTCCACATCACCAGCAACTTCAGCATGCTGCAATTTACCCACAGCTTATGATTAAGTATAGTCACATAATATATTATAACTATATATAGTTACATAAAAACTATAGAGTATAGGTATATTCAGAGACAAGGACAAGCAATAAAAAAGGACAAAGATGCATCTCTACAGAAAAAATGGCCACAAAGAAATTTAACCCATATTTTTCATGGTTCTTGGAGCTGCCATAAGAATTGGGAATGTACTTAGTTGGTTCAATGGAACCTGTGATGATGGAACATTCTACTCCATCCTAGCGAGTACAACAGGTTCCATACACATGTGGCTTCCAAGTTCTTGGAATGTAGCTACTGAAAATTCAGAAGTGAAAATGTCCACATTTAACTTTAAACAAATATTTAAATTGCATGACCAGATAAGGGCTCTTCTGAGAGTTGCTATGTCAGAGACCTAAAGCAGCAGGTAAGTGACCTAAAGCAAGGCAGGATGGTTTCCTGCAGAGTGTCACAGGAAACCTTCCCACTGAAAGGAGGGCCTAGGCAATCTGGATTTAAGATGTTCTAGAATCCTTTCTTACTAAGTATCAGCCCAGCTCATTCATATACCACATAATATTAGGGAAGATGATAAAATACTTTTCATTCTAATATATACTACCCAGTGATGTACATGTTCTGTTGTCAAGAATTTTATTAGTTGCTATTATCCCTTAACACTAGTAGTTGTTAAAAATGTGGTAGGTCACAGATCTTGAGAAAAATCTTACAGAAAAACTAAATGTTGTTAATATAATGGGAAATCAGAAGAAGTTGCTTCACCCATAACAGTAACTTAGGGGAAAAAATTAGGTGCAGGGATACTGGGGTCAGGGTCAGTCAGAAAGGACTGAAGCATCAGCTCCAAGAAATAAAACTCAGAGAGTTTACAGGAATCTAATAAAGTGTAATACATTTATCTGAGTAATACACGCAACTACAGAATGACATGTTATCATCTCTGGCACAGAACAATAGGATGCACTGGTGCTGGGCATCCCTAGGCCACATGTCACATGTTCCTGGAAGGCTGAGGACTGCTCACTGTCAGTTTCTATTACTGAAACTATTTCAAGAAAATGAGACTAAGGGAAATGATAAAATTCTAGGAATGTGCCCAGAAAATAGTCCAAGCAAAAAGGACTATTTCCATGGATCCCATTCTTTGGAGTACTGAAGAGGTGGTTTACATTTTCCCAGAAGAAAGGAAGAGTGGGAGTTAAATGGACTGCCATGTTGAAAGGCACGCACTATTCCTGGTGTCCTGTGCTGACTCATCTCAGCTGTTACACTAACATACGATGAGCCACTGTGATGTCTGCACCACAATGCTGTGATATCAGAATGTACTGTTCAGAACTACTAAGCAAGCCTTCTTCTCCTCAGAGAATAAAATGGCCCTTTAGCTACGGACAGCACTTTTGTTTGACTTAGGGGAAAAAGTAAACCAAAAGCTATGATTTTAAACATATGCCAATTTATCTGTTTTGTAAAGTCTATTTCAAGATAGCATGTCCTAGTGTGAACTTGCGGAGTCTCCTCTTTCTTATCACCCAACTAGTACTCCACAGAATCTGTTAGATGCAGTCATTAGATCTCCCAAAGGACACTTTAGATCATACCTCGTTCAAGTCTTGCTTTCTATAAATATTTTGTTTTCTTAAGAGAAACAGAGAATAGTTCTGCTCCTCTGAATATAACATGAAATAACTCAATGCTTGTGTTACTACCTAAGAAACTCAGGTTTATGTAGTTTCTCAAAAATGCAGAAGTAGACGATGGAAAGGAGAGGTGGGAAGTCTGTCTACCAGCTTGTCACTGTTCAGTACCGTGATTCTAGTAACATACCCACTCATCTGAGTATAGACAGACATCATGTGTAAACATTTTTCCAAATTAATGCAACAAATTAATCCAACTGCTTTCTTCTTTTGAAGCATTTTTGTATCTGCACCATCAAAACAAAACATTTACAGTATGTGAACACTAGGGAGCAGCTTTGTTTCTTGAAAGAAGGAGCCCTGTTATGTTCATCTTGCTCTGCCAAGCATGTTTGCAGTAATTGCTCTGTGTATTTAGGCATTTTTGTCTTGATATAATTAAATGAAGTAGTATGTAAGGAGAGTGAAATAATATCTAGTTTACAGAAAGCACGAAGCAGGATAATATCTTGTATACTGTAGGCACTAAGCAGTTGTTCGTTCTCTCTGGACTCTTGTTTTATTTTTTCCTTAGGGAAAGGTGACAAATCCTTGAAGGGCAGACCACTCAAATACACATACTTTTCAGAGTTACATGCCTTCAAATCGAGTCTTTGAACACTTGTTTACTGGGATTTTTGAATTAACTAAATAGTTCTGCATCTTCTTGGCTACATCTGAAGTTACACCAAGCTTTGCCACTTCGTTGAATCCCACATTTGTCAGCAGAGAACCTCTCTCCTTCCACTGCTCTGTCTTTTTTAAAAATATAAACAAAAGCCGGGCGATGGTGGCACATGCTTTTAATCCCAGCACTCGGGAGGCAAAGGCAGAGGCAGAGGCAGAGGCAGAGGCAGGCGGATCTCTGTGAGTTCGAGGCCAGCCTGGTCTCCAGAATGAGTATCAGGATAGGCTCCAAAGTTACACAGAAAAACTCTGTCTCGAAAAAACAACAACAACAAAAAAATTAAAAAAATAAACAAAAACGTGTGACAACATTCACATCCATGCAGCACCAGGCACACTCAGTGGGTTTCAAAACAGAGCACTGGTGGGGAAGAGTGGGGATGGGGCTAAGCCAGGAGGATCTCTGTGAGTTCGAGGCCAGCCTGGTCTACATAGCAGTTTACAGGCAGAACTATACAGAGAGGACCTGTCTCAAATAAACAAACACTAACCACATTCATTCAACAGATCTTGTGTTTAATAAATTGTAAAAAAAAAATGTGCACATCAAAGAACTGTTTTAAAATGCATTTCTTGAGCTCCCCCTTGTTCAGGTCAGATGGAGGGCCTTACCCACCCTGGGGAGCAGAAGAGAGATGGGGTGGAGTGGGGCTGGTGGGGGTTGGGGAGGAGGAGAGGGAGAGGGAAAGGAAGAGGGAGAAGGGATTGATATGTGAAGCAGGCTTGTTCCTAATTTGAACTAAGAAAAAAATAATTTCTTGGGAAAAAAATAAAATGCATGTCTTTACAGTTTATTACCAGCAAGTGCTTGATTTGTAAGTCTGTTTTATACCTATATGCCTAGGGTTGTGTAAATATTACAGGTTTCAAGTGGAACATTTAAGAGACCCATAATAACCAGCTTCTGAGGCAGACTTTCCCCAGATCAACAGTTGTTTAGATTCTGAGGAGTGAGGCCACACAATGCTAACTTTTTGTAAGCCTCTTATGTCACCAAACACACTATCTTCTAGTTTGGCCAAATTTGTTGAAATAACAAGACTGTGTATTCTTGAATGGAGTGGTATTCTATTACATACATGCTCTGTTTTTAATCCATTCACAGTAGGTTTCATTCCTTCACTGTTGTTAGTGTATTAGAGAAATACACTATAATACACCATCATGTATACTACTGTATTAGTCTGACATATGATCTAGTCATGTAAACATCTGTTAGTAGAATTGTACACTTAAGGACAGGTATGCTATCCTCCTTACTTTAGAATACTTTGTTTCTTACTCTGAAACTTTGCAAACAGTACAATAAATGAACTGAACTGACTTACCATATACCTCATATTAAATTACATTATGTTACTGCTGGAAGAATTAAACAAAAGGGAATAAATGTCTCTGATTAGAGAAAGTGAGCATTGAAAATGACCGATTTGTTCATATTTTTGAGGTTAAACCAGTGACCAAGGTTCTTAAAAAATAATTCCTGTAGTCTCATATGTGACTGAAACCATGTGGTGCCGCCTGCTTTTTCCTGCTCACTCCCTGACATCTAAGCTTTCTCACATAATTTATCTATATTCTTTGTCTTCACCAGTCATAGAAATAAAGCAAACTAGCAGAAAGAAAACTTTCATAGTCTAAACTCAGAAGCAGCTTTGTTTCTAGTGTAGGTTGTAGGTTGAGACCAAGAAGCAAAAAAATCCACAAACATCCACTCGTGGGCTCCACGTGGGACACTGTCAGGCTGCACTAAAGTAGACTGCTGTTAGCCCAGGCTTAAACTGCAGGTGGTGGGAGCTCTGGAAAAGGCTGAGTTGGGAAGCATGGTAGCAGGAACTGCCTGCACCCTCCCATGGACTGACAGGCCCACTTGTGTGGGGCATGGGTCATATGCTGATAACACTCCCCTGGGCTCTTTGACATTTTGTTCTATAATCCAGCTCAGTGGCCCCAGCAGAGAGCAACCCTAATGATCACTCACTTAAAAAACATTGCATTACATAGTAACTCTTTGAGAAAGGCACCATCTTGTCTCTTGCATACTGTCTTGGCATACATAAGTGCTTAGGAACTGTTCGCTAAATAAATAAATGAACTGTTTAGCTTCACTTTTTGTCCTGTCCACATCTATGAAGATAACCTATAACCCTATAATAGCAATTTAAAAATGCCACAGTTTCAAGCTCAGGCTGACAGACCACTAAGGTGACCTTCACTGCAGCAAAGCCTAATGTGTGAAGTCACAATACATGTAGATTATTGTCATACTCTTACCATGACAAAATCAAGAACAGATCTTATGTTGCACCTATTCATTTTGCTAGAAGGTAGGACATGCGAATGAGGCAAGCTGCTTTCTGTTTGATCATGGCATGGGCGTTCTCCATAAGAAAACTAGGATGATGGTTTTGCACATATATACAAAGGTCACTCACAGAACCCTTTTTCATAAAACTGCACTTGAAGATTTCTTCTGACTTTTAGAAAATCAACATATTGAACACTTGGTAAACATCAATGATAACAACTGTGAGCATTTATACTGAGAGGAGAGCTTAAGACTATTAGAGCATAATAACACAGTCAAGTGAATACTTACACTCTCACTCTGAAAAGGGTTTAAGAAATTTCCCCCCATTTCACCGTCATCCCTTGGGGTGCCCGGCTGGTTACTCAGGCTCATATTATTGGGAGAATTCTGTAAACAAGATTGAGAAAAGAAGTCATTGTTGAAGGTTTTCATTTCCCTCCTGCATTGCAGTGCTTCAAACACAGAATTACAGTGGCAATGGCGGCAGCAGGGACAGTACTGTCCTCTCAGGACAAAGCAGATAGGATGCTCACTGGCTTCTTCCTCATCCTCTCCCTCACACACTGTACCAGAACAAGTGTTAATGCTTTTGCAAATGAAATTTTGAGGACAAGTAAAACCTCAAATAATCTATGATAACTATTTTCTTACTCCCAGAATCAATGTTTAATCAATTTCTCATCCTCAGTTTATAGTTTCTAGAGTTCTAGAGTAAACAAACAACAAACAAACAAAACAAAACAACAATAACAAACAACCCCTCAACTTTCCAAGCAGGAGGCTGATGAAGAGAGTCTGCCCATGGAAAAGGCATGATAGAGGCTAACTCCCTTAGTAATTTTCCTAATTAAACTTTGAAAGGTCACTGCTTTAACAGACATTTCCCTTGAATTCTTTGTGCACTTTGGAGATAATACTATTTCAATTATTTTTATGTGAGTCATAAGGAAGAAAGAAGATCACTACTGAGAAAAATGCCTTGGGAGGAGAGAGGGATTAGCATTCCACTGAAGAAAGTGCTACCCTTAGTTTACAAACATCCAGTTCCTATGGATGTTTCTTGGAGACAAAACAGATGCTATTAGCAATCAACATGAAGTTAGCAGCACCTTTTGTAAAACCCTGCTTAAGTTTGTTCATCTTATCTTTACAGGGTATTTTGAACTATCTGGAAGTCCACACCAATAGGAAACACAGAATGGCACATACATCATGTTTATACTGCCCTGCAATGGTGATTGAAGGATGCCTTTCAAGTTACAATTTACTAAACTGAATGTTTAGTTTAAAACATTCAGGACCAAACACTTTGTTTTTTGAAATGGAAAATATATATATATATATATATATATATATATATATATATATATATATATATTAGAATGCACATTTTTTAAAGAATATGGCCTTTTTAGAATATGGCTAGCCTGTAAAGCAGAGCAGGCAGATGAGCTGGTGTAAATGCAGCTCCTATTTTGTCCCAGTGTGCCCCTGCAGGGAGGATGAGAGCAAGGATCCTCTGAAGTCCATAGGAGTTCTATATGCCAAGGGCTCAGAACCACACTTCCATAGCAGAAAAAGAATTCTACCATTTCTGGTAAATTTTTCCTCCAAGAATAAAGAAAGGCAACTGCACATAAAGTAACCTGACAACTTCATTCCCTTGGAAATTTTTACTAGATGCATCATTTTAGATTCATTAATTATTAGAGATGCTAATTAAATAATAAATTGTGCTTTGAAAACAGGAATGATAATGCTAATTGTGGTGGTTTGAATGAATAGGCTCATACATTTTAATACTTGGTCCCCTGTTGGTGGAATGGTTTTTAAAGGATGAGGAGGTGTGGCCTTTTAGGAGGAGGAGATGCATCACCAGAGGTGGGCTTTAAGCCCATGCCAGCTACTGCTCTAGTGCTATGCCTGCTTGCCTGCTGCCAAGCTCCCACCACAGCAGGATCATGTACTCTATCCCTTTGGAACAATAGGCCCCAAATTAAATACTTTCTTCTATAAGTTGCCTTGGTCATGGTGACCATCAAAACACTGATCTATTTCAACAAAGAAAACCAAACTTTGTGTGAGGATTTTCACTGCACATTTGGGGTGATTTAGATCTGGGCTGTACTTTTTCATATATCATGTTTTATTCTAAAAGTTTATCTAACTACAAGTCTGATTCCTGACTCAAAGTGTTGGGTTTTCTTTTTAAATCAGTTAGTTAATTAGTATTTTTAGTGCTGGTATTTGAATCTATGGGCTTGTATATGCTAGGTAAATGTTTTACCACATAGCTACACTTCTAGACCCCAAGGTTTGATAATATTTAGAATTAAAATAACACTGAATTTTTAAATGAACAATACTTCCATGCTACTATTTCCATTTTCCATGCAATCTTTTCATGGCATGGTAGCTCAAACTCATGCTTTCTAATGGGGTGGGGGTATGTAAGTAAGTTAAAGGGAATTTTAAAAGAATACAACATAAATCAAGGCAGTACTAGATCTTTGAAACACATCTTCTAGTCAATGGATATGTTTGAAAACATTTAAATTATAAGAACAGAATATGTTGTTTCATTTCTATCTGAAGTATTCTCTAAGGAAGGCTGTGAAATGACCTTCTCTAAGGAAGAACTGTGAAGTTCTTCAATGTGGAGGATTAAAGAAACTGCGCCCAGGATCACCTGACACCTGAGACTATCAAGGCTGTAATGAATACAGCTGGCAAGGAACTGTGTGTGGTTCCTTTCGCTATGGCTATAGCTGTGAGCAGTGTCTCCAGCAGAATTCATCACTGAGGCATGAGTACCATACAGAAAAGGTACTTTAGTGACCAGAAAGGCACGATTGCATTAGCACACACTTCGGAAACAGGGAGCACCACAGAAAGAACTCAGGAAAGGATTGTTTTTAGCTGTTTTTATCATCTTGGTGACATTTTTTATTTCAGTGGATGGGTATTTTGTGTATTTCTACTCTAAGATTTAGCTTTAAAATTCAGATCTTACTGATCCCATATTCAAGGGATTCTATTACATTCCCACCCCTTCTCCAAGTTGGAAAGGAATGCACATTAAGCACATAAAAGATGCCACACATAGCCGGGTGGTTGTGGTGCACTTGGGAGGCAGAGGCAGGAGGATCTCTCTGAGTTTCAGGCCAGCCTGGTTTACAAAGAGAGTTCCAGGATGGTGATGGCTGTTACACAGAGAACCCTGTCTCAAAAAAACCAAAAACAACAAAACAAAAACAAACAAACAAAAAACCTATCACACACGAAATTCCTTTGGCTAAATGTTTACCTTTCTTAAACTTTGTAGTCTCCACTCTACTTAATTTTTAAAAATTTATTATTATTATTATTATTATTATTATTATTATTATTATGTATATGTTCGTGTAAATTCATTTATGCATGTGTGTGTGCTATGGACATGTGTGGGGCTGGGCATGTGTGTGTGGACATGTGTGTGTGCTATGGCAGGCAGGGGTCAGACACAACTTCAAGGAGTCACATCATTCCACCTTTACTTGAGTTCTGGGGGGGGGGTCAAATTCAGATTTCTGGACTCACACTGCAAGTGCCTTTACCTCTTGAGTAATTTTCCTGTCCAGTCTTCAGTTTTTATCTTGTATGTTTTCTTCAATTCCTCTCTTAATTAGAAAGTTATTCTTTCATCTATCCTCTAACACATGACCCAAATTTTTAAAAAACTTTCTCCAGTTTAGTCTGCTCAGTTACACAAAGCTTCTTACATTTGTTTATCTTTGGAGATAGAGCCCAGTATGCTCCCTTGGCACCTTGTTCTTTACTGAATGAAAGAACTCCGTGTGAGGAGAAACCACGTGAGGACAGAGAAATGATGTTTGTTTCCACAGAGGTCTTGTTTTTTCCTTCCCACACAACACATAGTCAACTAATGTTTAGGCATTAAGCAAGAGAACTAGCAGTTCATTAAGCAAGTTACTAGCATTGGACAATGTAAAAGCTAGTATTTAATTCATCATTGTAATTCTATTTAAAAACATTTAAAGTGCTTTATAAATTATAAAGTCCTTATTCCTATAGAATTTTGTTTATGTGTTTAGTATAAAAGATTATAGTTTATTAATGAAAGTTTCAGGAAGATGGTCCTATAACAATTAAGACATTCCAAGTTTTATGTTCAGAACCATCTCTAAGTGCAAGAATACATTCCTTAAATATGACCTTAAAGTTTCACTGCTAACTAAGGAGAGTTCATCTAGCTCTCATCATAGGCAGGTCCTCACATCTGAAAGGGCACCTCTCACATAGACAGCTATAATAAAATCACACAGGGCCTGTTGCTCTGAAAACAGACTTTGTGAATATCATTTTCCACAGAGGTAAGTTAGTACTTGACATGAATAAATGTTATTCTAGAATACTTCTCTGTCTCCAAACACCTTCATCCAAGTATCCATAGACCTTGTATGGCAACTAGACACTCCAGGTGTAGTGTCAGAGCTGCAGTTTACAATGTTTTAGGGCCTAAAGTCTTATTGTAAACTGTTTTACAGTTCAGTTAATTTTACTTTTTTGTGGTGCCAGGAATTTTCTATTATTATACAAATGTAGGTGGAGTTAAAAGCACAGCTGTCCTCTAATGAATCTCTACTTACTGATATAAAGCAGACTTTGAAGGGAGCAGTTTTAGTGTTAGCTAAGCATAGTTTTCATCAAATGTTTTAAATATAGTTAACTTTCAGAGAACTACTTTAATTTCATTATGACCTAGGTAGTATTTTGATGTTATTTTTTTTAAATTTATGTAAAGCATTTTAGCAAAATATTAATTTTAGATACTCAAATTATTGAAGGAGAAAAATGCAACATTTATTTCTACAAGTATTAATATTATTTTCTTCTAATTACTTCCCTACCTTTTTGAGAACTAGAAAAATGACTGCACATGACAACACCATCTAATGAAGGCTTTAAAGACCAAGGGAACATACAGATACATACAAATGTGATGTTCTTAAAACCATATATGGCCAACTTCTCAGATGTATCTAATGTCACACTGCTATAGATACTTTACAAACTTCTACAGCTTTTCAAAAGATCATCTAAACTGTCAGTCCAGCTCACTATGTAGCATCAGAACATGATGAAGTGGGTTATCATATTTTCCTTTCTTAAGATTACATATGTTCATATTTTATTGCTGAATGATAAAATTTTTATTGAAGAATAATATTCATAAAGCTCATTTAGTAACATTAGAGTTCCATGTGGAATAAAATGGAGATAAAAACAGAATACACATTTCTCACCTTGGAAATACTGTCCATATCTCCTGAGCCTGGAGAAAAATGTGAAAAGATAGGCATCATTAAGTAAGACAGCATTATGAATGGAAACTCCTGAAGGTGAGTGAGCTAGTAGCAGCACAGAACTTTGCTTCTGCCCCCATCACCTGTATCTGAACATTAGGAATGGTCATGGCTACAGTCCCCTTGGGGGACCACTAGGGAGTTCATCTACATGTACAGATCTGTATCTTCTACTTCCCATCTCTTGCATCCTAATGGCAGGAGCAGTCATGGCTACAGACCCCTTGGGAACCATTAGGGAGATCATCTATGTGTACAGCTCTATACCTTTTAATGAAAATGATGTTGCAAATCTGATAAAATTTAAAATAGACATTTCTAAGAATATCTGACAATATTCTGAACCATATTTTACTACAATATTCAAGAGTATTTTACTAATATTAAAAATAGCACCCAACATACACAATAGAAACTAAACATATCATCAAGATATACTACATCTTAATTTTGGTTTTTGAGAGACATAGGTGATGGAATTATACACTAAGTAACTAGCAATAACATAACTTTATCACAGTATCAGTTTTATTTTGAACTAGTTACTCTCCACAATTAATCTTAGTGCAAAATATTATAACATTTTAATAGCAGCATTTACTGGACAGCAAAAATAAAGGCTTAGCATGACTTGCTTTTGAGGAAAAGTATACAACAGTTACACATGGAATGCACACATGCTGTACTGTTACTTGTGAATATGTAATGTTCACTACAGAAAGGAACTAGTTGTCAGCCATTGAGAAACTTGTCTGGAAGCTCATTCTAGTGGTACTGTAACCAAAAGCCTTCTATGACCAACCCCCTCTCTTTTGACTAATTCTCCAACTTGACAGATTGAGAAAACTCAAATTCTATAACAGTACTGGAAACTGAACACTATATGATGATGTGTACATTTCTCAGTGGTGTCCACTATGCCAGCCAGTAATGTGTGTGCCTGCTGTAGACCTGGTATGTGGCAATGTGCCTGAGGACTTGAATACTAAATTCTCTCTATCCTTAAATTAAATAATTACACATGACTATTGGCTGCAATCATCAGACACTTCATGCCAACCAAAATACAATGAATCAAAACTTTGGAACGTACAAAAAAATGGGTCCTTAAAAAGCACAAAAGTCTATTAATGCATTGGAGATAATTTTGGAATCACTTAACAGACATTCAGGAATCTAGGGATATGTTTTTGACCTTGAGAGTATGGAATCCTAGATAAGCTGGACTGTATGAGCATGGTCTGTCCAATGTAAGTGAAAGGCTCCTCTACAAGCCTTGGCACCACTGCCTGCGTGCAGATGACCCTATGGCCACAAGCACATTGGTTCTTATATGTCTACCCATGGGCGTGGTGTGCTGAGAGACACAATCACTTTTGCTTTACTTTTCTCTATGTCTCATCATTGTGAGTATTTTTTTTACCCTACAGACACTTGGTGTCATCTGCTACGAAAGTGCCATACGTGAAGCACACTGTTAACCACTGCTGTACTTGAGCTCAGCTTTCTCCTAAGGCAGGTGCACAGCATGGTCTCATAATGGAATTATTAACATTATTAGAGCATGGTTACTAATTTTATTTGAAATGTGCAAACATTAAAATACATGACAAAATTAAAGAATTATTACAAGACCTGGTTTCTCTGATATTATGTTCACAGACTGGAGACAAAAACACCTGTGGAAAGGGCAGAGGCACCCTCTGGGTTAGGCAGCATGGCACATGCTCAGTGGAACAGTCTCCTTTGGCCACAAGACACTTACGATGTCACAGACCAGCATCAATACTCGTGGGGCAATCTGAACAGAACCAACCTCACACCCCTAACTTTCAAATGCTCTCCAGTTTACACCCAATATACTATAGATCACTTGACCACTCAAGTATCTGCACATGGAAGGGCTGTGCAGACCATAATGCCCACATAGAACTAATGTTTTATTTTTAATTTATCCCATAAATCTAATGTAAAAGCCTTACCTAAAGAGCCATTCATGTGATGGGACTCCATTCCTCCTAATCCACCCATGGGACCATCTGATGCAGGGCCCATTGGAAACTGTTTTAAAAATAAAGAAGGTGATTGTGATCATATGGAAAATGATTTTATTTCACATTACTTATTAACATTAGAGATTGCCCAGGTTTATTTTCAGGTGTAGAGACTTCTCAGAGTCTCAAGGTGGTGGACTTTGTAACTGTCTGTCCCACCTCTCCCATCTCTATGTTCTGGATGCTCTGGCTAATCCTACTTTCTGTCTATTTTCTTTTCTCCTCCACATATGCTCAACTGGAAAGCATGAACATTCCATGTAAATGTGAAGATTACCATTCTCTCCTTGATGGTGACAAATTTCCTCTGATATGCCCAAGGTAGTTCTTAAGAACCTGCTGCTGCTATTGGTTCATTAGGAAGGTTATTTCTGTTGAATCATGATACCAGTAGCAATACTTCCTTAGTACGCAATATATCACTGTTTGAATGGGTACAGGGAATGATTTCATCTTGCAGGTTAAAATTTAGTTACTTAGGGACAGCTGAACCTTGTTAACTCTTCTTAGTTACCTGTGCTATGTCAGCATAAAGCAGACATTTTGCAGCAGCTCTACTCACATCTTTAAAGCATCAGGATTGGTTCTATCAGGTAAAATCTTAGCAGTAGCTGTGAACAGACACGCTGGTCTGTGCCCTTCCACCTCCTCCTCACTCCTCTAGAATGCTTCTGTGCCCTAGCTGAAGGCAAGCATCATTATCTTAGGTTTGGAGGTAAGTACCTATCGAAGTCAGCATTTTCTCTTAAATGTTTTCAAGCTCAGGTCATATTCCAACACATACAACTTGCAGCATTGACTATAGTGTATGCAGAGAGAGTGGTGATGGTTAAGAATCACACTAGCTTTCAGGGCCACAGAAAGGAAAGGGGAGGTATTACAATTAAAGTCTCTTTATTCAAGAAGACACCAGGGCAAAGCACAGGCCAGAGCTAGGTTATAGAACCCAGCAAGCTCGGCTAGAACAAAAGGGCCCGGGTCCCCACGTGCAGCCCTTTAAGAAGCTCCCTTACGTCACCCCGGCTTTCCTTCACCACGCCCTTATGGGCGAGTCCCGGGTCCACCTGGTACCTGTCCCAGGACTATTGGGCGGGGCTAGGGTGTCTCCCTACAGGGAGGAGAAAGGAAAAAGGAAAGGAAGGAGAAAGGGAGGAAAGAAGACAGGCAGGCAGGCTGGGTGGCTTAGTGGGAAAACTGTTTAGACAAGCCTGAATGTCACTAGCTCACACACATTCCCAGGTTGCTGCTTATGAGTGAGTCAGAAAGATGGCTCAGCAGGTAAAGAGGCTTGCCACCAAAAACCTGAGTTCAATCCACAGGTTTCACACAGCAGATGGAGAGAACAGTCTACTTCAATTGTTTTCTAATCTCCACATGTATGCCACAGCACATTTACCAGCACGTGTGTGTGTGTGTGTGTGTGTGTGTGTGTGTGTGTGTGTGTGTGTGTGAGAGAGAGAGAGAGAGAGAGAGAGAGAGAGAGAGAGAGAGTGTCTGAGTGTGTATGTGTGTGTGTGTAACTGTGAGCATGAGTATGTGTCAGCATGTGTGTGAGTGCACACACGCGCGCGCACACACACACACACCTGAAAAGTAGAGAGGACTGCATGGAACCTTACTCAGCTTTTAACAAGGGTGCAGTTTAGCTGGGCTGGGAATTTAGACCTCATTGTAAGTCCAAGCAAGAGCCTGTGGGCATGCTGTGCTCTGCTCTTTTCATGCCTCTGCAACTTTAAAGGGTGTTGACTGTTTTAGAAGACTTTGAGACTAAATGCATGTAGGTTTTAATTAGCTTAATGCACAGTAAATGTATTTTCTGACTTTTTTCAATTTTAGCTACCCTATGTACTTATGTATAAGCATAACATTTATTTTTACATGGAATATTACTGTATTATAGTACAAATTTAAAACTCATTTACATTAGGTCTGTTAGGCCCAGGAGGTACTGCATTCATTAAAGTATACATGTTGTCTCCAGAATTGGTTGAATCTGAAACAAAACATCACTTTATTAATATCTCTACAAAAGCCTTCACAAAATAACCAAAGATGATCTTGGCATACATAGAAATTGATAGCTAGATAGATACACAGCTGATATAGTCATTACTAGTGTTTGGAAACAATACCTGGCAGTCCTTTTCTGACCCAAACTATACTGTTCTAAGGTCATAAATTAGGACCATGATGAAAGGTATAAACCCGTCAGTAATTCAGGTCAACTGAATATTAAGACCCCCCCACACACAAATTATAGAGTATTTCATAAAACATGGATTACTTTTTACTCCATAAGCAATGATGAGTATATATACATCAGACAATTATGAAAGTTCAAATTCAGTAACTTTTCAATTTTTAGGATTTTCTTAGAATTCCTATAGGAAAAAACTGAATTTCAGGATGAAACTGGTAGAATCTACTGACTTAATTTCAAATGTGAGATTACAACAAGACTAGAAAAAGAAACCATCTTTCTTGAAGAAAGAGCCAGATGCTTCAATCATTTTTTTTCCTTTCCAGAGATAGTCTCGTCTTATGACGGCGGCTGGCCTGGAACTCACATAGTAACCCAGGCTGGCCTTGAATTCACAGCAATCTTCCTGTCTCAGTTTCCCCAGTACTCATTCACTACCCATGGCTTTAGCAACTTTTTGATAATTTTCTTTAGTCCTTTTATTAAAATAACTGCAGTGTATTATCTATAAATACATTTAAGATTTTATACTATTCTAAAACTTATACTTCATGGAGCCTAGATAATTCTAGTTAAATCTCCACATATATTTTTATGAATTAAAATTCAGACTGAAAGCTAATTATTTTACATTGAGGAAATATTAGTGATGAAATGCAGTTTTCTATTTTCTTACAATTACAAAGTTTACTTAGATGTATTACAATAGATCTTTATTTTGAAAACGATGAAGTGTTTGGGGAAATAACATGCTTTCTCATGGTAGTGACCATAAGGAGAGATATGATTACTTCTGCCACTTGTGTGACTACTTACTAAACATTAGTTAGCCTGTGATTTTAGTGTGTATTATTTATTGGTCATTTATCAACAGTGATATATGAATGTCAGTAATAGATTTTACCTTTTTGTTGTTGTTGTTTTTGTTTTGCGACAAGGTCTCACTATGTATCCTTGACTGTCCTGGAACTCACTCTTGTAGACCAGGCTGGCCTTAAACTCACAGAGATCCACCTGCCTCTGCCTCTGCCTCCTGAGTGCTGGGATTAAAGGTGTGCGCTGCTATGACTGAGTAGATATTACTAGATTTATTCTAAAAGAATAAATACCTCATAGTATTGAATGAGCCAGAATGCTTCCCCTCAGGATGACCTCTGTTTCTGAATTCTAAGTGAGATCCCAACCTATTTTTATGGCTATGACTTTTTCATGTCCTCACCTATGAAGTATTTCTGTCATGTAAGGTTACTTATTCCTTCCTGCCTATCGCCAGCCTTGCCTGTCTTCACATTTTCATTCCTTCTCCTGCCTAGCATCTCCTCACCAGCCCCACCTACTGCAGTTTTGGTCACCATATGAGTTTTCCCTGAGGTTTCTGAGTGAAACCTCAATGCAGTGAGCCTTGTATCTGCTCTTTTGCTCACACCTGGCTATCAAGAATTTATCAAAAGAAATGGGGCTATATTTTACTTAGCTTGTGTGCCTCAGATAACAAATTAGATTTATTGCTTTAATTTGTCTGGAAAGTTCTATCATATTTCAGAAAATTTTGGATTTGATTTTAAGTACATGAAAACTTTAAATGGGTTTATCTTTATTTTTGGTGAAAGAAAAATGGATTACAGATTTTAAATATGCAAGAGATGAATTTATCATTTTTAAGACTAATTGAAAATATAATTTCATCCCAAGAAAGAAAAACTATCAAGAGAAATAAGGATGATTTTCTAAGAAATGCATGCCTCCTTTGGATTCCTGGAAGAACCTTACACTAAGTGCATCTATGGGCATGCGTCTTTGGGGCTGAGGACATTGGCTCACTGTAAAGGATGACTTGAAGACAGTATGCAAACGAGGCCATCAAGACAGACTGAAGAGGTGATTAGATTACTTATCCCCTGCTATGCTTAGTGTTGCTTGAACCTGGGCTCTAGTCTATAGTGAATGGAGCACAAATCACATGACATTTTCATAAACTATACACTAACTTCATAACACGAGAATGAGATGCAGCAAGGCAATCAGTTCATATAAATTGTCTTTGATAGATTCTGCTTCATTTGGACACTTGGAAGATAGAGACGATGACATTTTTATGGATAGAGAGAAAACAGTAAACTAAGGTAACATTTTGTATTACCAAATTTGGTTTTAAATAAAATGTACAAAACAAAAATTATTTACTGGAAACATTAATAATGATGACTTTTAAACTTCTATATATCTTAGAACTAAATTTAAATATTTAACGTTTGACTTCACAGTGAACCATACTAAAATTATTTTTAATTATACACCTTTCTCATCTAGTTTATTACCAAGAAGCACTGAAAGCCTTAGCTTATTTCTGTGATACATACACAGGTATAAACATACACATATATACACACATACCTATGTCTGTGTGAGTCAGGAGAGGTTACCCAACTGTTACAAGCACATACCACTCTTGCAGAGAACCTGAATTCAGTTCCCAACACAAAGGGGCTCACAATCATCTATAACTCCCTGGTAGCATCTGTAACTAGGGGAGTTGAGGCTGCCTTCTGGTCTCCATGGACACCTGCACTCCTGTTCTCATGCCCGCACACAGACATTAACAAGTGTACATAATTATAATAAGTCATTAAAAGTAAGTGGATAAAACTGTGATGATATTGTACTGAATAATAAGCATTTATTTTTCTCACCATTACAAATTTTTTAATGATTACTTCAGTAAAATTTTAATTATAGCCTATTATATGCCTTAAATTTAATAATCTTACCACTACTGGGTTAGGAATACAGATTAGCTTAACTACTGAGAACAGTGAATGAGTATCCTTATATACAATCTTGGATTGCATCTCTAAACATTAGATGATACAGAGTCAACTTTTAAGAACTATCTGATAGCTCTGATCATGTTCCATAACTTTCTGGATCTTTGAAAATTTAAATTCCAGTCACTAGTCTCCAAACATGCTTAATACTCTGTACTACAGTATCGAGAGGAAAAAAGGCTAACACTACATGAAATAACTATGTTGAATTATTATGGATATACGGAAGTACATCTTATTGTAGAAATTTACTATTTAGTAAATTTATTAAGTGATGAATTCCTATAGACATGTAGGGTAAACAGTACTATATAACTACAGTCATACTCAGTAAGATGTGGGTGGGAGTCAGTTTGCTATTCTAACCTTATGGTCTATGTCTTCAGTGTTTTACTACTATAGACTTTTCTGTGATGGGGGCTATGGATTCTTTTCAGTTTTAAGGGATTTTTATTTAAGTTAAGGTACTTGTAATTCATACAAATCAACACATTGCATATACTTACTAAATCCATAATCCCACAAGAGGAATTTTCTAAATTCTTTTTTTTTTCAAGACAGGGTTTCTCTGTATTGTTTTGGTGCCTCTCCTGGAACTCACTCTGTTGACCAGGCTGGCCTCGAACTCACAGAGATCCACCTGCCTCTGCCTCTAGAGTTCTGGGATTAAAGGCATGTGCCACCAATGCCCGGCTGAATTTTCTAAATTCTTAACTGGACTGGAGCTGTTTTAAGACTCTGACTTTGTCCCACCTGCTTCCTCTATGGTCTTTAATTATACTTAGACAATGAAAATTTCAAGGCTTATTTCAAAAACAATTTCTATATTCTGTGGATTTACCCTAGGAGTCAATGTCCATGTAGCTAGTTTAAATTACAATACCTGCTGGACTAGGCATGATGGGCGTTCCTGGTGGCCCTCCACCTCCTGGAGGACCCTAAATAATTACACAAAATTTCAGTAAAAATAAGGCATTTCATTAAACAATGTAAGGAAAAGCAGAAAAAGGTTATACTTATCTCTATAATAATCCAATTATTTTCTTTGATTCACAATCAACTCAATATTATGCAAAACATAATTTAGCTTAACTATGTTGAGACTATTTTGACAAGTTTCCAAAAACAATAAGCCTGTAACACTGGTTTATTATTCATGACTTAATCACATCACCTATAATGAGGTTAAGAAGAAACCACTTAATAGGGCCTTTACAAACCAACAAAATAGGAATAATTCCCATGTACTTTAATTGTTTGCTGTAATTTTCTCACATTCTGTATCCCTAGCTTTTACTAAAACTAATTCATTTGCATAGAGATTCTCTAAGAGATACCAATTTAGAGATCACATTACAGACACACTAATGTTGTTTCTTTTCTCTGTCAGCTTCGTTGCTACACTTAGAGGCAATACACTAGTTATCACTTCAGTGGGAAATGAGACATGATCCCCACTAATGCTGCCGGCTATGGAGGCTGCAGCTCCACTGACCAGGCAGGAGCAGATCTGCCCTCAACTCTGACAACTAAACATATAGACTAGGCAACAAGCTTCAGAATCTTCTGGTACCTATGTATAATGGTCAAATTACTCAAGTGGCTTAAATCTTTACTTTATTGTGAGTGTGTAATACAACCTACCAATTATTTCAAATAATATATGTATTTCCCACCAAGTAAACAACTAAAATTTCTTTTAAAATAAATATAAATTCATAAAAATTATCAGGCTTATTAAGTGACTTTAAGAGAGTTTTATTCTAATTTATTTTGTTGCATACAAATTGTGTCAAGAATTGGACTTCTTTGGCTGGAGTGGCTCCAAGGAACATTGAGCACTAGGACCATAGGTCCAGAGGGCTTTTCCCTATGTTAATAAAATAGTGTTTCTGTGGGGGTCAAAATGCTCATTGATTTTCTTCTTGTGTACTCCTACTTACTACACTCTAGTTGCATATAAACTCTGAAAAACTTCCTATTTTACCATTTTATCCTCACTTCTCTGTTAATATTTTCTCCTAAATTTTATAAGAAATTATTCCTTATGGTAGTCTTCGGATAAACAAGCATCATAAAATAGGTGATAGCCAAAGGGTTGTGACTTTAAAAGAGGTGATCCAAAAACCTGCTAATTTTGGATTCATGTCTACATGAATACTGAGAAATGTTAATGTATACTAGATTGTAACAAGGAAATGGTTTTTTTTTCAATTTCTAGGAATAGAAAAAAACTAAAAGATCTTTCCAAATTATTACTTTATTCTATAGTCTGATCTACTGTGTGGTTGGGATAGTTTTTTGTTTTGTTTTCTTAGCCTTTATGTGTGGTGAGCAGGCCTGGAGAGGGTATGTGCATTATTCTCATAGAGAACTGCGAATTCAAGCGTATCACTATCTGGGAATGGCTCTCTTTATGACTGGGTAGAGAGCATTGTAGTGGCTCCCAGAAACATATGCCGAAGTAAAACAGAGTACGAAAGGCAGTTCTAGCCAGACTGATAACTGTTTCACTAATGAACATCAACATATGTATTGAGGTTGGCAGATGAAACAGCTCAAGATGTTCACTTCTTGGTCAATACACAGGGGCTCTTCTTAACATCTGGGTAACAATTTCATTGCTCAAATAAAATGTAACATCAATTCTTATGAGCAAGCAAACCCAAATGTACTTACTACATAATTCCCAGGAGATGCTGAGGAGTACGGTATCTGGAACATGAGCAGGACAGAAACAAACATTTTGATTCATGTGACTGCATGGGATTAAATTAAATAAATCTACTTCTTTCATCAAGTTTAAAATATATCACAAAGTAAAATAAAACATAAAGGAATTTACCTTTCTGTAAGTGCCAAAAAACCAAGCATTTGTAATATTATATTGAACTAACAAGAAAATGTAGATTTCAGTCAAGAGGAATTTAAAACTATAGCTTCAAATTATATTGGCTTAGGTCAGTTGTATCCAATGTGTGTACTAATGAGACAGTCTATAAAGATGTGTACTTGAACAACTAAAACCAAGAAACCACAAGATTTCAGATCATTATCCTGTACAGATAAAACTTCTAGTGTACGTAAATTGACAAGACATTTGCTGCTACTTTCATGCACTATATGTCAATTCTCACACTCCCTGCTTAGTATTAAAACAATACAATAAATTCAAAGAAATTTGCTAACTATGACGTTCAAAGGCTGATAATCTGTGAGGACCAGATCTGAACAATGATCTCCTTTCTCTTTAAATGAAGCCCCTCCTGAAGAGGCCATTTTCCTGGCATGAGGACGAATTAATCCATAGTGCTGACAAAGGAAGTGAACAATTAGAAATATACTTTAAAATAAACACCTAAGTGTGGGTGTTAATAGAAGTTAAACATTTTCTTTTTCAACAAGCCCACTAACTCGATTGCATGATAAAGTCCACATGCTTTATTCTGCGAAAAGACAGTAATTTGTCTCCCTGGAATGAGCTAGTCAAGGCCAGAATAAGACCTGAATGGCAAAAATGTTGATTCCTTTCTCTGATGGGCCCAAACCTGCCATAACAATGCAGTAATATGAAGTCACAAATAAGGAATTCTATAAACCTTAATTTCCCCTTTAAAATACTTGATGATGTTTGGAACTCTTTAATAGTAGGCTATTTGAAAAGGTTTCCTCTTCACTGTTTGGTGTCCTTGTTTTTTGTAAGCACAGAACACACATCGCCAACGCCTCTACTTTGGTGTGTTTTGGGGGTTGACTGAGCCCAAGAGCCCACAGCTACTGTAGTGCTCAGATCCTAGTGAAGACAATTACTTCCCCTGAGGTAAGGTCTCTCATGGCATTGAACCTGACCTCCATTCAGTAAATGCATGACTGCTTTCTTGTGCTCTTCTCAGTTCATGATCTACCATCCAGCTTTTTAAATACATGGCTTTAAATTGATACATTTGCCCCCTCTGAATTGCCAACATTCTACTGGTTCCCAGAATGCATTTTATCTCCATGTCTTCAGCACCTGGCCAGTGTTTTCTTACTCTGATATTGTCTATCATGACAATCTCATCATCTTTTAGCCCTTTATTATTCACATTTTACATTCCTGAACTTGGTAACATATTGCTATTTTTCTCCCCTTTCTGAGAGTTCAGAAGCTCTGTACTGAGTTCTGGACAATTCCCTTGCCTAAAATCTTACTACTTGTGCTTACAAAACTTATTCTGTATTCCTGTCAGATTATTTTTTATTACACTTTAGTGTTTTCTCAGTCAGTTAGTCTTGGTTTGTTTATAACTAAATTACCTCTGCATTCTCCTATACTCTACAGTTTTTTTATCCCTCAAATATCTTAAATTCATTCTTCCAAAACCTAGTAAACTGGTTCCTATTTCTCTGGTCATCTGCTAGTTAGCCTCTTTGTTTTATAAGAAATTTTGTGGAGGAAGGCACAAAGCAAGGATGAGAAGATCACAAATACAATCACACTCTGTAACATGTTAGTTACATGTTACATGCTCTGCACTAATATCTTCCCATTTTCTGGTTCAGCCTTTGCAGAAACCCTGGCATGTAAGTGATGAACATCAAGTCAACTTTAGGAGGAAGAAAAATTCTTGGCCTGTAGTATTTACCCACTTCTTTGGTACATATTCTCATTTGTCAGATTTCAAGTTACTAAAGGGGTTTAATACACAGTTCATGAACTTTCTGAATGAAAAACCAATTCTGAAATTGGGACTTCTTTACACTCCTGTGAGCTGGCTGTCAGAGCCATTATGTCATCCTGAGTAGCTACTTTGCCCTTCTGCCATATATTAAGCCATCATTTTCTGGTCAGCATGCCATTGGTTACAAATTTAAAATTGCACCTGTTATGCCCAAGAGAAAAAGCAAACAAGAGTCTTGTGTTCATTTCCAAGGACAGCACCTCCAGCCTCCCTATCCACCCAGGTCTTCATGATCCCTTCACATGGTGAAATAGAACTATCACTTTTAAATACTTTACAAATTGTTATCTCATCTAGTTGTTCAATTTATTTCCATCTCTGTCTGGACAAGCTCTTTTAGTTTAGCTTATACAAACTGTTTCTACATTATATTCTTCAGTTTTCTGATTATAATTCAGCATTTGGGCTCCTACCCCTGGCACATAACTGAATATGCACTCTTGAAAGCTGCCAATAGGATGTGACAGCATAGTGTGAAAGACATATATTGAATCCAAAGAGACAGAAATACTATGAGTATAGTGGGTTTGTTTCTGAGCTGGAAATCTGGGATGCATAGAAAGAAGGTGTAACATGAGGAAAGATGAGAAGAACTGAAGAAAGGACAAGAAATGTGAGATTGCACAGTACATCCAGGGGCTGTTATGCAATTTTTAATGGCTGCCACACTGCAGGACTTAGAGGTTGTGTAGTAAATGATAAGGCCACATGCTTGGACCAGGAATGAATGCTTAGAAAACAAAAGGTTTTATAGAACTGTTCAAATGCATGCCTTAGTAAGGTGACTCTACAGAGACCACGGCAAGTGAATTCAAATAGACTGCTGCAAGATTTCAGACAAGAGATGGCAGAGGGAGTTGTGGGTAAAGCTGACCACAATAAAAGGGATCGGAGAATTGAGAGTCATTTCACAAATTATTTGAAAGCACGCAATGACAAATGCTGTTGTAATTACAGTTTCAGAGGATCCAGTGTGCTCTTCTGAATTCCATGGGCTCCTATATGAATGTGGTACTCTTATATACAATCAGGAACACACACACACACACACACACACACACACACACACACACAAAATTTTTTAAAACATGTTAAAATGAAGACACAGTTGAGATTACCAGAGGATCAGATTCATCTATCTACAAAAAGCTGATGAAGAAAATTAAGGACCAAATATGTTGCATGACTAAACTAGAAGGGAATTCTGTGTCTTAATACCCATGACTGTGGTGGAATAAATAAGGGCTAAAGCAGTAATTACTGCTTTTAAAATAACTGTGAACAACCTAGTCATACCTTTCTCCAGTAGGGAAGTCTACAAAAATCTTACAAGTACTGATGAACTAGAGTTGGGGAGGCCACCATCATACATTGTGGCAATGGAAAGTAGGAACCAGTTTTTAGTGATTTTTTAAAATTTAAAATGTATTGTATTGCCCTTATAGTTAATCATATTTTTCCTTAAAGGATTTCCCTCCATTTGCCTTTTCATGTCAAGTCAGTGAACTGATTAATATAGTGCCATACTAAACATTTGGTGTTGTGTCCATTGTAGGGGAAGCTGTAGCCATGCCTTCTTAGAGGCTGTGCCTGACCTCGCTTGTGAGGGCATGGTCAGAGTGACGTAGTGTGACTGCGTTTGCTCTTTCGGTTTCACTTTGGTACTTGCTGTACAGACTGCTGGCTAGGTCTCTCTGTAAGTAAGGCTTTTCCCTATTAAATACCCTTATATTTCTACCTGACTCCATATTGGTAATTTCCCACTATAGTCTATTCCTTGTTTTACTAACAACCCCTTTCATATTTCCCCAGGTAACTGTACTTTCCTTATTTTGACTTGACATGGGCTGTGCAGGCTCAGGAGTAGGCATATGACCTAGGCAGTACATATTTATCCCATCTGCCTGTTTCATGAAGGAGCACATGACTCAAGAAAAGCAAATGTAGGTCAGTTAAAGTTATTTTCAATTCCTTTCCTTAGCAGGTAAGTGATATACTTTTCTGTTCAACTAGAAGCTCCAAACATTGGGTGACACACAGCCTTCATGAGTTGTAATGAACAGAGGTCAGGGAAAAAAGTAGGCACATTTCCTGAACTCTTGGGACCTAAATCAGATTTAAATCTGGAATTTTAGAAGAAAGAATATTAAGGATTGGGGAGGGGGCTGGAGGGATAATGAAAAAGGTAGGTAGAGGTTTGAAGGGTGGATAGATATGACAAATGAACAAATGTATGTGAGAACTGAGATCCTCATTAATTTGTACAATTAATATGTATTAACGACTATCATGATAAGCAAATAAAAAGGGATTTTTTTTGGGCTAATAGAGAAGGAAAGAAAACGTTTTAAAAATAGCCATTTTTTTTGACCAACACAGTGGGGAAAGAAAATGTTCAGATAAGAATCACCAATAGATGCCAAAAATGGCTGCTGAGAAGAAGGAAGAAAAGAATATTTACCAGTTTCAAGTATGGTTCTATATGGATATTTACAGAGGAAAACTAGCAATTTTAGTATAATAGACATTGTACAAGCAGCAGCTTAGGCAAGAAATCCAAACTAAGGTGACCAGAGACCAGACAGGTCCACGGGAGCCTCCTGCAATGGTGTTCTGAGGAAAACACAAAGTTCCTCCCACGGCATCCTGGCAGATGTCAGATAAAAGCAAGCTATGGGACACTCTAAATAACTGGTCTACAATCAGCACAACTGCAAGTTAACAGAGACAACCATGAGCTGGGGGAGCTGTTCCAGATGAAAAGCACCAGGCACATGGCTGATGAGTGGCGTAAAGATATTATTTAGACAACTGGAAAAATTGAAGTAAGATTTGCAGATTAGAAAACAGCGTTAATCAGGGTTACTGCTATGATTCTGAGCACTGTTTTGAGTCATGAAAGATGCTATCTTATTTTTAGGAGATACACTGAAATATCTAGGAGTAAAGTCTCAGGACACTTACACAGAACAGGAAAGTGTAAGAGAGCTTAGAGAGTGAACCCTGAACCCTAAAACGTTAGCACTGGGGAACCGAGTAGGGGGCATGGGCATTCTTAGTGACCTTCTCCCAGGTCTTCTGTATATTTGATATTATTTCAAAATAATGGGGAGAAGGTTAATAATATTCAAAAAGATGAAACCAGAAAACCCAGTTTAATATGCTGCCCCGAGCAGGCAGACATATTGCACTGATATCAGCAGAAAGGCATCTGCCATAGTAAACATGTACAGAAAGTCCAAGGAACTTGGAATTCAAAATAACACCAATGAGTCATCACTGCAAAATAATCAATTGTGTTTGTAGACAGTCCCTCTCTTCTAGAAGGCCACCCATTGTCTGCAGTTTTTCCTCTCTGCTCTTCACTCCCTGTGAGAGGAGTATTTTTCCTCTGTGTGCTGAGGACAAGTTCCTGCTCTTCCTGATGATCCCACACACATCCCCACTATTTGCTCAATGCACATCCTTCGAGTTGGGGGAAGACATGTCTGTATGTGCACACATGAACAGAAAGGACCACTTTCAGTTTTCACTTGCCAAACTGGCCAGTGCCCATTCCAGGCTGATCATGGAGCAGTTTATTGTGCACATTTCCATCCCGGTTTGGAGCCACTGGACCTACTAGTACACCCAAGGCACTTGGATGAATTCTGAAGACATGGGACCCTCACAACTGAAATTCAACAGAATATGGGACTTGCTTCTCATCTCTGCCTCCATTAAATACACTTTTCTTGGATAATATACTACAACTTTTCTCTGTCACTTCCCCCAGTGCCAGGCATGGTCCTCAGCAGCTCTAGTTACACTCTCACGTACATATCAATAGTGCCAATGGATATGGAGTATGGATTGTTCTCTGCCTGCAGTGGCTGTGTGGACACCAAGCTTACAGTGGAGTATGGGCTTCACTTTTCTGCCTAGTTTCAATCATGGAGATAACAGGGATTCCTAGACTCTGGTACTAAGAAGACTGTCAGAGATCTCAGTGTCACCTAGAGACATTTTAATGGGTATTTTAATAGGACAAAAGAAATGTATTTGGGCAGCATGTCAGATGTAATTTCAAAGTGAAATCCTGAATAAACTAAGGCAAAGAGCAAGAAGCAAAGAAAAGGAAAAGTCTCCTAAGGCACAGGAGCAACTGAAAGCCCTGGGAAGAAGTTATTAACATTATAATATAATCTGGCAAAATAACAGTTTATAAAGACTCGATGAACATATCACCAAAGGCTCTAGTGGAAGCAACATCTTTCTTTTTACCTGAAATAATTACTAAATGTCATGAATACTAAAACTGAAAGAAAATAATACAAAATTAATATTTTCTCTAAAACATGGATGATTGAATTGAGTGGGAAGTAATCAGGCCTTTGCTTTAGAACATCATTGGATCTATGATCATGTCTTCCCTATCTGACATCTTTTTTTCATTTCTCTGAAATTTTAAATTTATCTTAAATATTAGCCACCTTTCTGACTAATCCAGCATTCGGGCAATTGCCAGTGAATAGAAGGACCTGTGTATAACCAGCAAGATGCACCCCTTGGTTTAGTGCTCATGGGCTTCATTCATGGAGCTTAGTCTGCCTAGTCCTCACTGAACCTGTTACCTTGGGTGTCTGTGCAGAGTGTGTACACTACACGAATTCTCTCACCTCCTGAAATGCTTATGATTTCAAAGATGAAGTATAACATCTCCAGGATCATAAAACTAAAATCATCCAGTTTAAAACCTGATAGCTTAATTTTCAAACTGTGCATTTATTTCTGTGACCTCATTAAGAGAAAAAAATGCATTAAACCACTGCCACAAAAATATAAGAAAAATTCCCTGGATGTCAGATACATAGATATGCAGGGATGGCAATTTAGCTAATAGGCACTAGGCAAATGTGCACCTGGTAGGTATGATAAACACAACACACAATCATAGTAATTCAGTTTCCTCTAATTGAGACTCATCTTATCTGGCAACTTAATGATCTTGTAGCTACTACAGAAGATCAAATCTTATGATTAGTATAGATTGATATGCACACTGTTGTATTATTCACTGTTTCTATCTTTACTTTTGAAAATCTATTAACTGAAACAGAACACATGTTTACATAATAAAATGAAAAATTACACAATTTCAAAAATTAGATACGTTTTTAAAAGAATATGAACAAAACTACTTTTGAACACCTTCTTCAAAAGCTTAACACCACTGTGTTAAGCTCTTATGAAGCTCTCAAAAGCCATAGTCTTTTCACTGCTAAATGTTATAAAGTGCAAAATATATATACTCACTGAATTGGCATTTGTTGGGTTTGGCCAAGGTCTACCACCACCTGGACCCCTACAAAATGATATGACAGATTAAATCTCAACATGTGCCTCAATGGTTCCATAGTAAGTAAAGAACAAGGCACAAAACATTAATGTTTGTAATTCAGTTACCAGGCACAGTTTTACTTAAGCACAAAAATCACTTTATAGTCATCTTAATAGTTTTTCCTCGAATGGAAAAAAATTATCATGAAATAGTTTCATGTATAGCTAGTTTAATATTATTTATTTTTATAAACAAGAAATAGAAATCACCCATAGCAGTCTATATATGCTCCTAAATGACTTTTACCAGTTTTAGAGTAAAAGGGATCAAATACAGATAAATATAATCCAATATACCAGTATGAGTCACCTGTGTATCATTGAAAATGAAATGATTTGTAAAATAGCTACATAAATGATTATTGTCAAATTACAAACAAGTACTATCTAAACGTGCCTCCTTAAAATTATATTAAAATAGATTATATATTAATGCATCATCTAGTGCTAATGATGACTTAGTCACCATTGGAAGCATTGAGTCTGGTGTTCATCTCTTTGCCAATACCATTATAATGTAAGGTTGCCATTGAGTTACTAAGTATCAGTACTGCTGTTTGCCAGAAAAGAATGTAGCCTTTAAATGGGCATGTGAATTACATATATAAAATTCATATTTTCATAATTTTAGTTGAATATAGTAGAGAGAACAAGTCCTGAAATGAAGGGAGATAATCTATGCTAATATATTATTCATTTTAGAATTCAGGAGATAATTTTCCTCTAGAATTCACTCATTTAAATAGCCCCAGTGAGAATCCCTCTGGAAGCCATGGGATCTTTGCTACAAATACTATATAGCAAATGATATTTGCTATAAAAGGCTACAAGGCTGAAGGAGCAGTGCTTCAGGGCAGACCTGACACCCATGGAAACCTGCTACTGATGATTCCTTTCAAAAACTATCTGTAATACATCAGAAAATACTTACATTTTGGCCATAGTTTGTAAATTTTACTTTACGTCACTTAATATTGGGTATTTCCTTGTTTTAGAAATGTTGAAAGCCTATTTTGAATGTTTAAAACAGAAATGTCTGTCACATTCCCACCACTGTAAGCATTTTTTTCCAGGTGACCAATTTTTATTTATGAACTTCAATTAATGATGTTAAAATTTTTTTGTTGTGAATGTTTAATTCTGCAATTAAAAGCTATGGTGGCTGATTAGAATACAGCTTTTAATTACTGGGGGAGCCAGAGCTGGCTCTTTTCAGTGTTGTTACATTTTCATGGCAAATGAGAAGGAATGACAAGAAAACATTCCTCAACTCTGTCCTTGCTACCATTTAAAAGTGGAGCTTGGGGAACACCATGCCTTATTTTTCAAATTTTCAGTAGCCCAACAAGATTTTCTTTTTCTTTTAAAATGTCATGAGGAAAGTCACAGGTGCCACTTAACAAGATCTTTGGAGGGGCTGTCACACATTTGTTTTAAAGATTATAAATAGTGAATGTTAATTCAATTTATTTTAAAAGTGTAATGAAGACATCGTGTATTCTGTTTTAGTCCAACTTTGATTTGCTAGGCATAACAGCAATGCAATGATTATCCTCTTTGACTAGAACTTGATTAATTGGAAAGTTCTCTTCCACAGGAAAATATTTATTATGCCTAAATATATATGTATTTTTCATTGTCTCCGAGAGACTCCTAATTTACTAAAAATGAAAAGAATTATAAAATACTCTAAAATAAAAGGGAAAGTAACAAGAAATGGGAATAAGCTTGTAAGACTTCATTCTATTTAAGAACTATTTCCTATCAATAGCAGAATCTTACATAAGAGAAAATATTTCAAACTAGCTAAGAATACTTAAGAAATATAAATACCCAAAATTAAGAGTACTCGCCAGGCATTGGTGGTGCACGCCTTTAATCCTAGCACTCAGGAGGCAGAGGCAGGCAGATCTCTGTGAGTTAAAACCAAAACAAAAAACCCCGTCCAAAAAAAACAAAAAAAAAAAAAAAAAAAAGTACTCATATGTGAATACCTAAGAACATATATCAGAAGGAACTACATAATTTTAAGTAATTATTTGAGACTGTCAAGTCTCAAATGTACCAGCAAAACAAATGGTTTATCTCAAGTTGACCGTGTGGCTAATAACACAGAGTACTATACCAAATGATATTAGATATGTTCTTATCACTTGCAACTTGATTGACCATAATATTAAAAATTTACTAAAAAATGCTGATTTTTAAAGTGAGAGTCTAAGTTAAATTTCATGTTATTTTTAGCCTACTGTTAAGAGCTCCAGCTTTTGACATAAGTAAAAATATCATTCAGTTCTCTGGAGCAACCACTAATAAAGGGTGAGCCTGGGAGGAGTTCAAGAGCCAGACTTCACGTCTATCCATTTTTATTTCAAAAGCAAAAAAAAAAATGTTATAGGAAAATTTGACCTACTTTTCTCCTTGTTCTGTTAGTTTTGAGTCTGGCTGGTATCTACTTATTAACCTATTTTCAGTTTTAGTAAAAATTGCATCCTATGAAAATGGTTTCAGAAACTTAAAAAGCCCTGCATACATCAAAAGAGCTTATTTCACAGTATGTCTTCATGCCACTGGATGACAGCAGAGTTGTTTCATTTAATACGCAAGGAGCTAAAAACAGGCCGATGGGAAGTAAAGTTGAGGAGCCCTACATGCCTACATGGAGCATGTTAATAATTTCTGATGAGCTTCGTTTAGGCCCCATCACGCTGGTGATCCTCTGGTGAATTCATAAAAGTCATTAGCAAGATCTAGTGTATACAGGCCTTCAAGAGAAGGTTTGAGAATGCAAAATAAATAAAAATTCCTTAGCAAATCGCATTGCAACTGAAACAAACTACTCTTTTTGGACTGGAATGGTCATTCCAATAAAACAAACATCTTCAGTTTATTCCCCACCCAGTTACATCTTGAGTTTTCAAAGAGAACCAATCCTGTACTATGAATAGTTCTTTAACAGAGGACATCACCAGGAGAATTCTTTTGTGTTCAAAGTGGTCCCAATAAAGCAAATGCAGATATATGTTTATGAGACTTACTAACTGTACTCTCAGCTACCACAAGGAACTTATTAACATGAATAAAAACCCTCAGTTATCAACTTCTGTAGAGTTAGTACATGGTTCTGGTGTCTGAATCTCATTATAGTGTTATGTAGTATCTATATGAATCTATACATAATTACTAAAAAGCAATAGGCTGAAAGTTGTGATTTATGGTACCTAAAATGCAAAAAGAATCTTAAAGTTGCATAGGAAGAAGAAAAACATGATAGTAAGTCATGAAAATGAAGCAAAAATTGCACTCATGTTTAGTTCATTTTCATACAGCAAAGACACTGAGGTACTTAAATTGCTTTACAAATTCGTGTAATTTCACAAGACAGAAAACAGAACTTCACTAAACAGAGTAATAAGCATTTTGCTTACATGTTCATTGCAGGCATTCCGGGGCCACCTAAAGCATTCAGTGGGGGTCTCATTGCACCTCCATAGTTCTGTAATGATAACCAAGGGTCAGACTACCACAAAACAAAAAAACAAAACCAAAGAGGAGGGGGGAAAGAAAGGAGAGCAGGTTAATGATTTCCCTACATAACTTCTGACTGGATAAGGCCTGTGTAATTCATTCTCTGAAGGGTCCACTCTTGTATTTTTGCTTCTATTTTAGCACAACTACTTTGGTTCATGCCATTTAAAAATTCTACGAATATGGACAATCATTGGATTATGTTAAATGATCAAGATATGATCAAAATTATAACATTCGGCATATCTTTATTATCTAATATCTATACATTACTCTTTCAAATAAACTTAAGTCCAAAATTCTGTTTTTAGATAAATTACTAATTCAACAGATTTGACATTATTAGGTAAGAACAATTACATGAAGTCTGAAAAGAAACTCAACAGGCAAACCCAACCCAAGAATGCTGAATATAAGGTTCTATTCATAGAGAAAAATATCCAACATGGACATGCACTATTATAATACCCAGACTATATGAGAACTAAAGCATACTGAAAATATGCATGCATGAATTATGTGACCCAATAAACCTTAGACAATCCCTACTGTGTGCATTAAAGGAGGTGAAAAGCAATTTAACACTGTAGTATGCATATCATATTAGTTTACTAGTTGACAATAAGGGTCAAATGTTACTTTTTGATTATTATGTTAATATGTTTGACAAAGTCAATGGCTTTCATATTTGGGTTTCTGATACTAATCTCCCTCTTCTCTTGAGTGTTGTATTCCAGTTATGTTGCTGGTTCCTTGGATTTGCTCACTCTAAATGTTATGTATCCTCATGTTTTAGATACAGCATCACTTTCAATAAATATACATTCATGGGTAATCTTATCTGCTAGAGTCTGTTCACACACACACTGCTTACACATCAGGAATTTGAATCTATTTTATCATGTGTCTCTAAGTTCCTGAATTATGCTGAACCCCACAGTGGTAGGTTCTGCCTGGCTGCTGTCTCAAGCTCAGCACAAAGAAATAAACATCACCTGTGTGTGCCTAAGTTCTTCACCCTTACTCTTCCTTTAGTACTGTGGCATGACCTGCCACATAACAGGCCACACTAAGAATTTCTAGAAGTTCCTGGGTGTCCTTTCTTTTCAAAAATTTTCTATATGGTCAACCGCCAGAGTCTGTTGGTTACAGCCGTGAAAGCTCCTACACAGTGTTCTACTTCGTAGTGTGAAGACTATTGCACAATATGAACTGGTTTCTGTTTTACTCTTTTTCCCAATTTATTCTGCATACTTCATCAAGTAATTTTTTTCCAAATCACAGTATTACCCATGGCACTTATAAGATATAATGACCCAGATTACCTGTCAAAGAAGCCTAAATTTCTGAATTATGTCCCCATAAGGTTAATCAAAGCCAGCCCCAGGCTATCTTTTCTGTCTTCATTTCCTACATCATTCAACTTCTCCCAGTTATATTTCTAGCCTACTGGATTATTCCAAACCAAAGAAACTACACCTTCATAGTCATGTTAACTCATCCTACAGGAACACTTGGGAGGAGGTGTTAAGAGGACAAGGAAGTGAATCAATGAGAAAGGTCTGTTAACTCCAGACAGAATGACATACTTGATAAATGAAGTCACCCAGCCACCTACTACTCTCATTGCTGATTTGCTTTCTCTTTAAGGAAATATTCTTTACACCCAGGTTTGTGAGCTGTAGGGGAATCAATCATTCTAACCACCCAAGTTGTGTTAATCTTTGGGTCAAGTACGGCAGTAGCAGGAGTAGTAATTAGCAAGGATTTCAGAGCCCAAAGTCGTAGAAATGAAAAATAAACATGGTAAGTAAGGCAGATTCTTTACCAGGAAGTCTAGCCATCTTTCTCATTTGTGGTTTTAGAAACTCTAATATTCCATGAATGTTCATTAGAACTCTGGGTATAGAAACACATTAGCTTGCACCTCTACTGACATAGCATTATGGCCTCTGCAACATGCTGCCTTTATGAGACAGGGTCTCTCTACATAGTTCAGGCTGGCCGTGGGCTTGAGATCCTCCTGCCCTAGCCTTTGGAGTTCAGGGATTACAGGTGTGTACCACAGAAGCTACTCTTTTATATGAGACAACAATTACCTTAACCTTATTTTCCTCACCTGTGTGGTAATAATATTAATTTCCATGTAGACTTTTCAGGGGATAAAATGAAATATGAACTATCAGAGTGCTTGATGAATTGAAACATGGCACTTGCTACTCAAAAACTGTAGCTGTTAATTCCTTTTCAAGGATGTTAATCAAATGTATCTGAGCCCTCTTCGCTTCACTCTCCAAGTATCCTCAACTCTAAAGCATCACTTCTCTGTTCATGTGATGACTCACTGAGTAATTACATCAGGGTCCATATTTGTTCTCTAGGATTTTAGTATTAGACAATAGCCTTTGTAAATGCAGCTGCATTTCCTGCTCAACAGTATGCACCCTGAAGACAGAAATCCTATTTCATTAATCTTATACTTAATGGTCAAGTAAGATGTTTGATACACAGTAGGCCTTCAATAAATGATAAGCTAATTAAACTGAACTGTCATAGGAAGTGAGGGTTTATTTAGTATAATACATGATTTACAGGTATAAAATATTTTCATTTTGTGAATAATATTCCAAATCACAAATAAATCAGGAAGAAAAGAGAGAATAAGAAAAGGCTTTCCATGTGGTTCAACAAAGGCAGAATAAGATGAGCTCACATAGAATCTCAGAATTTTAGAGCTGGTAGCCATTGTACTATTCCATCTGGGTTAATCTCTCTTCCAATTAATGCTCTTCACAAAATGCTGTTCAGACTCTGTCTGCTGGGAAACCTTAAAATGTTCCTTGAGTGAACTGTTTAATTATTAGGAAGCTTTATCCTACAGTAAGCTGAAATCTACAATTTAAATATACAGAATCAGTTTACTCTATATGTGAGCTATGCATTCTCATTTTACATTCATCTACCCAAACTATCTGATTTTTAAATGTTCCTTGTCTGTAGTTGAGTTACCCTTCAAGATTCTACAGAAAATTGAAATAGCTGTGTAATTTAAGAGACTAGTTCCATGAGTCCCATGGAACTTGCTGTTTTTAAGAACACAGGTTTCCTAAGTGACACAGAAACAAAGAGAAAACAATTTCAAATATAGTATCAGAAGAGATTTTTACTTCTGGTGAAATAATTTTGCTTTTCTGCTGAAAGTATATTAGTTCCAATTTAAAAATCATTTGTGATTGCTGTCCTTAGATTGAAAACATATTATAATTATACCTTGATTTGGGTAAGTGTTTGTCTTCACCCATATAATATACATCAGCTGCATGGTTACTCTGTTCTGTGTGCACTTACTCATCTCACAGTACTCAAGAAACATTATGCTAAGTATATTTCTTTGCTTCAGACTTAAGAGTTGTTACCAGAAATGACTTTCTCACTTTATTACACATACCTTAAGGTTAAAAACCACAGGAGTGGTATTTATGGAAAAAATTAGACTGGTCAGTGACACAGGCCTTTAATCCTAGCACTCTGGGGATTCAGAGGCAGGTGAATTTCTGTGAGTTCAAGGTCAGTCTGGTTTACAGAATGATTTCCAGGCCAGCCAGGTCTACAACCTTGTCTCAAGCAAAACAAACCTGTACATATATTTTGTCTGTGCATAAAGCTACAAACACCATTTCAGAGCCTGTTTCTACAATACAGGTATAAAGAGATAGGGCAGTTAGGGTGACAGCAAATAGTAAAATGTCTATTGTAGGAATTGTTTTTCATTATCTTTCAGGAAATGAAGCTTACCTTTTTTGATGCACACATTTCACTTGAAAGGCAGTATGTAGTGACTGTGCAATGGAATTCCTGCCATTCCTAATGATTTTACTTCAACTTTCCTATCCCATTCATTTGCTTTTGTTTAAATGCATGGTAGTTGTAATTAATTTTCATTAATCCTTTTAGGGTTATTGGTGGTGTTTCTGGTTTCTGAGGTAAATTCATACCAAGGTACTTTATTTCCTTCATACTAATAGAAGTAGATATAAAAGTTACTACTAGTACAAATAGAAAAAAATAAACTGCTCTCTGACTTTGCAGAGGAAGTATTCATATTAACATAATAAACAGTGACTAAAAGTCATCAGTAGACATTACTAGCCAGAAGTAAGTTTTTATTATCTTTTGTAACCTTTTATCATATAAAAATACAGCTATTTATAACATAAAGCATAGAACCTGTGTACTTTTAATTTCAGAATTTTAAAGTGATATCCATGTGTTCAGTTCCATCAGCCCAAGGTCTGTCAGTACTCCAGTGCATATGCTAACACTTATCAGGAGGCAGCAGCCCAGTGGCTGGCGCTCAGGCTGGTTATTTACCTGTGGTCCTAAGGGCACCATTCCTCTTGGAGGAGTCATTCTCTGCATTGGTCCACCCATATTTGGATGTCCTAAAGGAAGTATGAAGAGATTATCAATGGAGCAGCTATAAGCACTAAACTAGAAACCAGTTCTCTCCAAGGAACTTAGGTTCCTGGGATTGTCAAACTAATGAAGTCACTTGTTACTTTGCACTCTTTCCATTTATCATCACTAAGTCCCCTATACGAAAAAGGCAGAAGAATAAACATATAATCACTTAACTTCCCATGTGTCTGAAGTCATATACTAGATTTTAGATATTTAATATTTAATATTTAATATTCTGTCTCTTATGTCAGCACTTCTAACCTGCTATTGTGCATAATTAAGAATTAGCTAGAAATATAAACAATTTAGTCATGTTGCTGTGAAAATACATCTGGTAAAATTGTGGAAAATTTATGTCAATGAAGTTCTTCTGAAAGAATTTCCTCAATTGTTCTGCATAGCAGTTTCACCTCTACTTTAATTACCTTGTTGTCGTGTTGGGTCCATTCCACTGGGGAGTAATGGCTGACTTCCTGGGACACCTCCAAGTGCCTAGCAATTTAGTAAACAAAAATAAAAAGCAGTATTGTAAATATTTAGGAAACATGTAGTTTAAACATTTCCCTTTAAAGTTACTACAACTACATAATGCATTTGAATATCTCTCAAGATCTTTCCATTTCTCATTCACTTTATAAACTTCATCCTTGTACAACCTTAGTACAAGATTTTGGTTGTAAAAGAAATTTTGTTTTGGGCCAGGCAGTGGTAACACACACTTTTAATCCCAGCAGTGGGAAGTAGAGGCAGGCAAATCTCTGATTTTGAGGCCAGCCTGGTCTACCGAAAGAGTTTCAGGACAGCCAGAGCTACATAGGGAAACCCTGTCTTGAAGAAAAAAAGAAATTTTGCTTTACCCAATCTTGTACCTAAATATTTTGGAGATAAGTATATATAATAAACAGCCAAAATGAAAAAAAAATCATTGATATTATTATTTCCCCTGAAAACAGGAATGAGACAAGGATGTCCTCTTTTACTCTCTTATTCAATATAGTGCTTCATGTCTTAGCTATGGGATAGGACAAGAAAAATACAGGCAAGGAACAAAATAAGAAAGGAATATGTTAAATTAGCCACATCTACATGTAAAAGACCCTAAAGAATCAACTAGATAGCTTTAAGATCTAAGAAACTTTTTAAGTAAAATCTTAGGACACAAACTCAAACAAAATGAATTAGCATGTATGAACAATCAACTCCCAGAGAAAGAAATTGGAAATAATCTTACTCATAATAGCTCCCTAGAAAGTAGCTAAAATAAACCTAAGCAAGAATGTGCAAGACTGCTACACTGAAAACTTCAAAATATTAAAAATGACAGAAAAGAAAGTACTAGATGATGCAAAGAATCTATGTTCCTGATCAGCAAGTATCAGGAATTAATATCGTGAAAATAGCTACACTACTGGAAGTAGTCAACAGACTGTAATTCCCACCAGGATTCTGATGTCATTCTCCACAGAACTGTAATAAAACAATCCAAGATTCATACAGAACCACAATAGACCACATTTCTGGCTAGTTTTATGTCAACTTCACATGTCATTTGGAAAGAGGGAACCTTAATTGAGAAAATGCCTCACCAGACTGGCCCATAGACAAGCCTGGGTGGGGATAATGTCTTAATTGATGGTTGCTATGGGTAGGTCCCACTCACTGTGGACAGTTTCATCCTTTCTCTAGATGCTGTCTACATGGTGGTCCTGGATGCTCTAAGAAAGCAGGCTGAATGATCCATGAGGGGATGAAGCCAGTCAGCAGCACTCCTCCATGGCTTCTGCTTTGGTTTCTGTCTCCAGGTTCCAGCCTTGTGTTCCTACCCTGACTTCCCTAGAGGATCAACTGTAAGCAGTAACGTGAAATAAACCCTTCTTTCAAGGATTTGCGATAGATAGGGTTTTACTTAGGAGGGTGGTGGTAGGGGAGGAAGGGAGGGAGAAGGGAACTAGGATTGTCATGTAATTCAATCCTGTTTGTAATTCAAATAAAAAAAAAAGAAAAAAAAACCCTTTCTTTCACCAAATTGCTTTAGATCATGGTGTTTTATCCCAATGACAGAGACCCCAACTAAAACAAAATTGGTACCAGGTCCATGGGGGTATTGCTGTGACAAACCTGACCACACATTTTTGGGAGGAATGTGCTGGAAAAGCCACTGAGTGCTCAGAGCTCAGTGGGCTGTTCTGTGGGAGCATGGAAAATACAGACACCAAAACAGTGCAGATGATGGAGGCCTGACCTGTGATGTTTCAGAGGAAATACAGATGCTATCCGGGTGATCTGAATGACATTTAAATGAAGGATACATGGTTCTAGTCAGTTAGGGATGAAGAACTGGCTGTGATTACCAAGACACTTTGTTTGTAGGAACAATCAATACTGGTTAGCTGAAGCTGATAAATAAGCAATGATTAAGAAGAGAGGTAAAATCTTCTGGGAAGTGGTTCTTTAGGATCAACATACAGAAGCTGTGGCTCAGAGCTGGTCAGGGCTGTATCTTGTGCCAGCAGCTGAACTTGGTAATTTTTAAGAGCGTCCCAGCTGGTCTGTGTTTTGAATGCATGAAGAGGGGCTGAGGTTTGGCACCATGTGGTAGAGCTAGAATCTTTGGGGGGTATAAAATGATCGTTTTCTCAACAATGACAAAGACGATTTCTCTGTGACAAGCACTGGTAGAGGGGTAAGGGGTATACAAAACGTAAAATAGTTAAGTTTTCTAACAGTTCCTTAAAAAAAATGTCAGGATTCCTAATAAATGCTTTATGATCACAGGGCTAGAGTGTTCAGAAGAGGCTGCTGGTAAAGGTATAGCCTCACTTTCAGGAGAAGCAACATGACTAAAGGGCTCATGGAGAGAAGTGGAGGCTTGAAATAATATGGTAGGTCAGAGTCCCTGAAGAGAGGCCATCAGAGGTTATGGTGAACTGGCAGCCCAACTGCAATGGAGACCCCCAACAGTTTGGAGATGCCAGTATCATAGGACAACTGCCAAAGACAGCAGTCACTGCAGAGTGGAGCTGGTCTGAATTTAAAAGATAAGCTCTGTGTGCTAACAGTGGCAGAGGTGGAGAAATGGAGCTCTTTAGAGGAGTCCAAAACAGATACTGAACTTTTATACTTCTGCACTTCGGTTTTGTCTACTTTGTGACTCTGCTTTGGTCTGATTGTGACTGTGCCCTGGTTCCTCCCTCTTTGATTAAAAAAGCTTGCAAGTATGCACTCCCACCAGCAATGGAGGAGTGCTCCCCTTGCATCACATCCTCGCCAGCATGAGCTGTCACTTGTGCTTTTGATCTTAGCCATTCTGAGAGATGTAACATGGATCTCAGAGTCATTATGGTTTGCATATCAATAAGATGGTTTCTCAGAAAACTGGGAATCAATCTACCACAAGATCCAGCTATACTAATCTTGGGCATATAACCAAAGGATGATCAATCATACCACAAAGACACTTGCTCAGCATGTTTGTAAATAGCAGCTTTATTTGTAATAGCCAGAACCTGGAAACAACCTATTTGTCCCTCAACCAAGGAATGGATAAAGAAAATATGGTACATGTATACAATGGAGTATTACTCAGCTGTTAAAGAGCAAGAACACCAGGAAATTTGAAGGCAAATGAATAGAACTAGAAAAGAAATCATCTGAGTGAGGTAACCCAGACCCAGAAAGACAAACATGTTATGTCCTCACTCATAACTGGATATTAGCTGCAAAAGAAAGGACAACTCCAACTATACTACAATCCACAGACCCAGGGAGACTAGTAACAAGGAGGGATCAAGAGGGGACATCCAGATCTCCTTGGGAAGGGGAAATAGTGATTTCATGCAGGTAGGGATGGGAACATGAAAGATGAGCCTGGGGTGGTGGGGAACAGTACTAAAGAGACTACTGGTAAGGGGGTACATTTTGGGGTCAGGTAAAAACCTGACACAAGGGAATCTCTCAGGAATCTACAAGGATGACCCCAGCTAAGACTCCTAGCAAAAGTGGATATGTAGCCTGAAGATGACCAATCTGGTCATCTCCTGTGACCAGATTGGTGCCTAGCCCAACTGTCAGAGAGGTGTCATCCAACAACTGATGGAAACACATGCAGACCCACAGACAAATATTAGGTAGTGTTCAGGGAATCCTGTAGAAGAGGAGAAGAAAGGGTTATAGAGTCAGAGGGGTCAAGGACACCACAAGAAAACCCACAGAGTCAACTAACCTGGGCTCATAGGGGCTCACAGAGATTGAACAAACAACCAGGTAGCTTGTATGGGACTGACCTAGGCACTCTGCATATGTGGCAGTTGTATAGCTTGGTCTTCATGTGGGGCTCCTAACAGTGGCAGCAGGGACTGTCTCTGACTCTTCTACTGGCTTTTGGGACCCTACTCCTTATACTGGATCACTTTACCCAGTCTTAATACATGGGGAGGTTCTTAGTCTTTACTGCAACTTGATATGTCATGTTTTGTTGATACACATAGGAGACCTGCCCTTTCCTAAACCCAAACGGAGGGGTAGTGCATTGAGGAGTGGGAACAAAGGGGTGGGGTGGGGAGAGGGAATAAGAAGATCAGAGGGAGGGGAAACCTTAGCCAGGATGTAAAATAAATAAATACATTTTAAAAAAAATGCACAGTGAATCAAAATTTAGGCAGAATACTTTGCCTTATTATTATCTCTCTTACGCATTTGCAACATTGGACACTGAAGAATTTTTTGTGTTCTTGCAAAGAACCCTTTGTCCAGAAAACACACAAACAAGCAAGCAAACAAAGAAAAAAGAGAGAGCATGAAACTTAGTTGTTATTTTACAGGAGTCCACAATTGAGAGAGCTTGGAATTTTAGAGAGACGGGATATTTTATACTTGGATATTTTCTAGAAACTTTGAAAAAGACTTTGGATGTTTTAAAGAGACTGAAAGGCTGTGAGACTTTTAAAAGTTGGAATGTTTTATATTGCAATAGTGATATTAACATGCCATCTTGAAGACAAATGAAGAAAAAAAAACGTTACAGTTGAATAGAAGCAGGTTCATGTGCCAAGTTTCCAAGAGGTCAATTGTACTGGCTAGTTTTATATCAACTTGACACAAACTAGAGTCACTTGGGAAGGCAGAACCTCAACTGAGACTATGTCTCCATCAGACTGGCCTGTAGGCATGTGTGTGGTACATTTTCTTGATTGATGTGTATGGGCCCAACTTATGGTATGTGGTTCCACCCCTGGACTGGTGTTCCTAGTTACTTTAATACAGAACTGAGCAAGCTACGAGGAGGAAGCTACCACATAGCACTCTTTCATAGCTCCTGCTTCAGTGTCTGCCTTGAGTTCCTGCCTTGACTTCTCTGGTGATGGACCATGACCTGGAAGTCTAATACAGAATAAACTATTTCCTCAAGTTATTTTATGTCATTTTTTTAATCACAGGAAAAGAAACCATAACTAAGACAATGATGAATAGCCAAAGCAATCCTAAATACAAAA